ATAAGTCTCATTTGTGAAGTTTTCCATTACTCCCATGGATAAAGATTAGTCTTCTGTGTTTAATATTTTCAGAATTTTTGGTGCTTTTATATGTAGTAAAAATAAAGTATTCCATTCTATTTCTTCCAGTAACATGTCACAGGCATTCTGTTAAGTATGTTTTCGTTTTACTTAATCCTCGTAGTACACATATGAGGTGGTTGCTATTATAATCCCTACACAGTGTCAATACCTAACTTGAAATAGAGACTTTAGTAAAGTGATGAATGCATGAAGATCATTCAAGTCACCCAGAAGAAAGTAGAGTGTTGAGGGGGACTCAGTGATGTCATGTTGGAATCGTTTAAGGGACTGGAGATGTTTAGCCTAGAGAAAGAAAATTCTGGAACCTGAATACCATCTTCAAATGTTTGGAGGGCTGTCACATTGAAGAGATATTAGACAAGTTCCCTCTGGCCCCAGAGTTGTAAAATTAGGATTAGTGGGTGGAAACTATAGGGAGACATTGTACATTCATGAAGGGAGAATCTTTAATCAATAGGACTCTTTAAAAGTTGAGTAGACAGTGTTGGTCTTTCTTTTTAACTGAACATACTTAACTAATGTGTTGCATGACCACTCAAAAGAGTCAGTTCTCCTGTAATAATGATGGATTTGGAGTTATACTCTCCGCTCTTTGAATCCCTTTTATTACTTACTGACAGTATGAATTTCATAGGATTTAGTTGTCAGCTAATTGCAAAGTACTGACTTGTTGCCTATAGCACAATATAATTAGTACCCTTTTCTTGGTGGCCAAAAATTGAGAGGATAGATGTTAGGTGATTGATGAGATTAGGTCTGAGATTATGATTCTTTAGAAAACGTTGTATCTTAATTTTATTCTTCTCTCTTACTGTTCTTTGTCCTTTATAATGGCACTTAGTCGTGGTTATTTACATAAGTAATTATAGAAATAATTCATGAGAAGAGCATGAGATTTAAATTTTTTTAAGATTTATTTATTTACCCATACAAGAACTGGCATACAGGCCAAAAGTGTTGGGGTGAAAGGATTCACCAGAGACAGATTGCAGAGTAGGACCGGCAGATGTACTGAAATTTACTGCTGAGGGGAACAGTGGGTGGGTCAGGAGAGGTCTGCCTCACCACGTGGGTCATCTCCCTGGCCAGGGATTGAACTTGTGCTGCAGTGGCTGTGTAAGGCTTCATAATGATGCGCTTTAACCCCTTACACCACCAGGGAGGGCCCGAGATGTAAAATACTTTTAACATAGTTTTTATGACTGTGAATATAGAGAAAGGAATTCAGGTGCTCTGCTTAGTGAAACATAAAGGTATTGTTCTTGTGTGCCAAATCATTTACTTCATTGATTCAGCAGATTGTTTCTGTATGTCTACAAATGTACTAGGCCCCTGAGGATATAATAATAAATAAGTAAGAACTGGTCTTAAAAATCTACAATCTCCTAGGAAGATTAGAACATAAAAAATGTGAACACTCTTGTGATTAGTATTCTGATAGATTCAATAGAGGGTATTAAGGACATACATAAAATGATCCAATACTGTCTTTAGAAAGGATAAAGGTATGAGGGAAAGCCTCAATGGAAAAGATTTTATACGCTGAAACCTAAAAATGATTTAGTGATGAATATTTGAAAGAGAGGAGTACTCCAGAAAAAGGTCTTTTGGCCAAAGGTCTTTTGGTCTTTTGTTATATTTAGGAAACTGAAAACCTTTATTGCTCCTGGAACATGGAGTTTGATGGAGTTTGATATCATGAGAGTTAAGGAGTGACTAGACTAAGAATGGCCTTGTGACTAATACTAAAGAGTGTGCTCTTTATTACAAAGGAAATAGGAAACCATCAGCATTTTTAAAGCAGAATGATTTGACCAGATTTGTACTTAAGAAAGAGTATTCATCTCTCTTAGAAGTTAACAGGTGTTATATAAAACTGAAAAAAAATCAAATAAAAGTGCATATGTGTTATTGAGAAATAAGCAGTTAAATATTAGAAGAAATAATTAAAATTGAAGTCATTCTTGGGAAGTGAAGAGTTGGATAGGGAGACCGATTTTTATTTTTCACCAGTAAACCTTGCAGAATAATGTAATTTTCTGGAATTTTCACATTGTGTTATATAGTTTTTGAGAATATGGATGCTTAGCAAGACTGCCTGGATTAAATCTTGTCTCTACTAATTATTATTTTTTTTTCTGGGCTTGAGTTTTCTTATCTATAAAAATGGGAAGAATGATAGAGCTCACAGAATTTCTATGAGGATTAAGTGAATTATACAAGTAGGTCTCTGAAGCAATGTGTCACTGTATAATAAACACTTAATAAAGAATAGGTTCACCGTTCTTCAAATGTATTATCACACCATGTCCACTACTAAAGCACTCATAATTCTCCAAGCTATTAGTGTTATATATCAGCACTGTTCAGGTACCAATAAAAAGGAGAACAAACAAATTTATAGTCATAGTGGGTTGCTTTTTTTTTAATGTTGCTTTTAGGGAATCAAAAGGACAGACAGAATATCAGAGGAGATAATGATTTTTATCAGCATGTTATTAATATTAACCTGTTGTACATACATATAAGGAATACTGTATTTACCATAGAAAATACATACTCTCAGGATCACATGGAACATTTGTAATGTAAAATGCCCAGAGATGTTCAGTTGTTAAAGATTGTGATGTCTTTTTACAATGCATTTAAGCTAGCAGTCAGTTATTAAACCAGAAAATTAGAGAACCATAAAGTGAGAAATTTAAAAAATATGCTTCACAAACAAATCACAACAAAAATGACTCAGATGCTGTGGAAAAATAAAATGATTACCCAAAAAAGGAAAATCAGTAAATGGGAATTTGGGGGGTGGGAGGAATAGAGGGCAGCAACTTGATAGTGGTAGTAGCACAAGAACCTTGGTTACAAATGAAGTGAGTTTTATACACACATAGTGGTAAAGAAGTACCCCCCAAATTTATATAGCTTGGCAATTCAGTGAAAATTTATTTAAAGGAAGATGCTTCAGATTAATTCATAAGGTAAAACAATAATAATTTAAATGGGGGAAAATAATGAAATACTATGTGTCAGTATTTATGATGCTTTTAAAGGTAGTAAAAGTTTACAGTTGATTTAGAAAAGACAACTTGAAAATAATTTTATTTTGGAAAGCTAGGAAAAAAGATAGGAGATTTGAATTTATTGTCTAGGAAACACTTCAAAAGGCCAGGTAAACTGACATGAGCCAAAGATTAGCATGAATAGGCTATTGTTCAGATTTGATAGATGAATTTTTTCCCTTTATATTAGGATGTGAAATTACACAGACTTGGATAGTCTGTCTCGAAGAGAGTAAATTAGGACAACAACTTAGAAAATAAATTGGCTTTATCTCATATAGCTAACCCTATATGTCTTCTAGATGTTGCACTAGAGAAGTTACTCCACAGTGTGTACCAGGGGATATACATAAGAACAGAGCAGCTTTATTATGGTGGTACAATACAGTAGAATACTACAGAAGTAAAAATGAACATCTGCTTGCGTCTTTATGATTAAATCAAATACAGTTTCATTCAAAAGAAGCAAAACCTAGAAGATATTCAAAATGATGCTTTTATATAAAGTTCCAAAACAGACAAAACTTTATAGAGGTATACAGAGGTTAATAAGATTATATAACACACTTTCCCATACAGAGTGTTCTAAATATTCAATAAATATTTGATGAGTAATAACTTTTATCTCTGAAACAGAAATGTTGAATACCAATTCTTTTTAAAATATAGGTTTTATTATATTTTGTAGGGTATAAGGAGGAATAATAATAAATAACAAAGATAGCTTGTATTTATAAAGTGTTTTCTCACTAAACAATTATATTAATATGAATAATTCAAAAATGAAATAATAGATCTCTATATTAAACAGACATACATTAAATCAGTGTGTGTGTGTGTGTGTCCCAAAAGGAAATACTTGCAACCCAAGGGTTTTAGAATTATTTATACAGTGTTCCTCTTTCAAGTGATTCTTGCAAAAATTCACGGAAATATCCATTATCTTTAAAGATTGGCATAAACATCAAGCTTATCAACTGATCTTTCAAATAAACTCTTGCTGTTGACTTTATTAATCCTAAGTGTGACTTTTTAAAATTACCAGTGTTTTTTTTTTTTTTTTTTAAAATTTTATTTATTTGTGCATACAGAACTGGGGTACAGGCCAGAGGTGCAGAGGCAGTGAGAAGGCTTTACCAGAGACAGAGTGGGGAGCAGAACAGGCGGAGTGACGAAGTACACTGCTGAGGGGAGCAGCGGGCGGGTCAGGAGAGGTCTGCCGCGCCATGTGGTCACCTCCAGGGCAGGCGGGAATCGAACTCATGAGGAAGTGGCCCTAGCTTCCCAGTACTGTGCTTTAACCCACTGTGCCACCAGGGAGGGCCCACCAGTGTATTTTTTTATACTTCTTTTTGGGTATTAGTTTGGATGACTTCAAAAAGATCCTTTACGTACTTTTACCTTTAAAGTTAGCAGTTTTTATTTTTAAAATAATGTCAAAAAACATAGCTTTTAAGAAGAGAACCATTTTTTCCCTCAGAAATCATGTTTATAATGAAACACTTAAGTGGAAATCATACTCAAATGCATGTAGTGCCCACTGAGGTAATGAACAGAATGGAAACTGTTGCAGGTCTGTCATAAGTAGTCATCCAGGTTGTCTGAACAGGGCACCTCCTAAGTGAACTATATTTGTCTGTTGCCATGAAGGAATATGGACCCATGGTGCCAGATCTCCTAATTTTTCAAAATATACCATATATCTGGCAATTAAATCAAATTTAAACACTGTGCAAGTAATACAAAAGAAGACTATCATAAGAATCTAGTCACCTAATATTATTAGTTTGCAAACATTAAAGGATATAGAATTTTGATGAAATAATTCTGTTTTTCATTGTGTTTTACATATAGTCGACAGAGATACGTTCTTGGAGACACAGCAATGCAGAAGATGGCCAAGTCCCATGTTTTCTTAAGTGGTATGGGTGGTCTTGGTTTGGAAATCGGTAAGCAGTTTTTCATGATTTTGACATATTTGAGCAACATTACCTAAAAGAATTTAACTCTATTTTATACTTTATTAGCTTCAAAACTTTGATGAAGGTCAGTTTTGATCCTTTTGGAAAGTCTGATTTGTTAGATTTTTCTACAAAGAGTCAGTACTGACTCTTTGAGCATCATTTTCTCTTTTTTGTAATATTAGTAATCATTAATGATCATTCTCTCTGTCCTTCATTATTTTAAAGCATACATATATATTCTAATTTTTCAAAATATGCCATATATCTGGCAATTGATTCAAAAATTTTAAACACTGCAAGTAATACAAAACAATACTGTGGTTATGAATCTAGTTACCACATTATTAGTTTGCAAACAACATTAAAAGAGGTATATAATTTTGAGCATATTATGATATGGAGAGTAATATTTTTTCCATTTTCTTTGTGTTTTCTAAGGAACTTCTATTTCTGGAGTAGTAAGAAAGTTAAAATTCTCAATCATAGATGTGATCAAGTGCTTTGAAAACATCTGATGTGGATCCCTATTACTAAGCTGTTTCAATTTCTTTTTTCCTTTGTAGCAAAGAATCTTGTTCTTGCAGGGATTAAGGTAAATAATTGATGTCCGTGGTAAGAATTATTGTTATATGTTTTCCCCCCTCATAAGTAGTTGTAATTTTGTTTGCACTTTGGCTTAATTATTGCTTCTCCATTTAGTAGCAAAACTGTTTCAATGCTATACTTCCCTCTTTTTAAAAAACTTGCTTAATAGGAAATTTAAAGCACATGCAAAAGTAAAAATTAGGCTTAATAACTCCATGTACCCAGTACTCTGCTGCAATCCCATCCCATAGACAAATCTCATCTAGTCCCAAGCCTACACACTTTCGCCCACAAATTTGTTTTATGTGTCTCACATTCCCCACTGTACCCCAACCAACAAACTGTTTTGATGTAAATCTCAGGCATCCTATTATGTCATCCTTAAATATCTTCATGTATAGTTCTTTTGCAAACAGAACTACATTACCATTTTCATGCCCCAGAATTTAACAATTCCTTAATGTTGTTGTATTAGTTGTCTATTGCTGCAAAACAAATGACATTAAAAGTTAGCAACCTAGGGCCCTTCCTGGTGGCACAGCAGGTTAAAGCACAGCACTGAGAAGCTAAAGCCACTTCAGCATGCATTCGATCCCCAGCCCCGAATTTGATCCACATGGCGTGACAGACCTCTGCTCTCTGCTCCCCTCAGCAGTGTACTTTGCAGATCTGCCTGTTCTGCTCCCCACTCTCTCTCTGGTGAATCCTCTCACTACCCCTGCATCTCTGGCCTGTACTCCAGCTCTACACGCATAAATAAATCTTTTTTTTTTTTTTAAAGTTAGCAACTTAAATTTATCATCTCATTTCTCAGTGTCAGAAATTAGTCATCGTTTGGCTAGTTTGCTGTGTTAGAGGGTCTTTAACAAGGTGCCAATCAAGATAATGGCAGGCCGGCCCTCCCTGGTGGCGCAGCAGGTTAAAGCACAGCACTAAGAAGCTTAAGTCACTTCCGCATGAGTTCAATCCCCACCTGCCCTGGAGAAGATCCACGCGGCCAGGCAGACCTCTTCTGACCCGCCCGCTGCCCCCCTCAGCAGCGTACTTCGTTGATCTGCCTTTTCTGCTCCCCCGTCTCTGGTGAATCCTCTCACCCTCCGCATCTCTGGCCTGTACCCCAGTTCTGTATGAATAAATAAATAAATCTTAAAAAAAAAAAAAAAAAGAAATGGCAGGCCGTTATCTCAAGCTTAGACTGGAGAGTGATTTGATTTACAACTTGCTCATGTTTTTCATGGGTTGTTGTACTGAGGCTGTTGGTCAGCACTGACTCTGTCCCTTACCATGGAGTACTCTGTGGAGCAGCTCATAGGGTATCTTTTAGTTCAGCAGAGCAGGAAGGCAAGTGAAGGAATGTGCTAGCGAGACTAATAACAGTCTTTTGTAACTTAATCTTATAAGTATTACAATCCATCACCTCTACTGCATTTCTTTAACAGCAAGACACTAGGTTCCTACTCTTGTGATGATTACACAGAAACCTGAATATCAGTAAGTAGGACTGATTGGGCCCTCTTAGAAGCCTGCCACCAGTCAAATGCTTGTTGGTAGTTAGCGTTCATATTTTCCCAGTTGTCTTAACGAAATTACTTTAAACTTGTTCTGATCAGGACCTGTGTAGAGTCGATGCTGAACTTGAACTTGTAGATTTCCCTTCCTGACATTTTTTTCCCTTGTGATTTACTTGAAAACCAGGTCATTTATTGTTTGTATCTATAGTTCTTATAAACCGATGGTTATATCTAGAGAATCAGATTTAGATTTGGTTTTTTTGACAAGAATACTTCACAAGTGGTACTGTATCCTTTCTATTGCTTCTACCTCATTTATTATTATTATTATTAGTCATTAGTAATCATTACTTGGATTTTTTATCTATTTAAGGTAGGGGGGATACTGTAATTTTATCATTGCTACTTCATTTATTAGCTGAAATAAAATATTTTAGAAAGAAAATGTTTTATTCATCTATTTGGTTTCATTGAAGTGTAATTTATATATGATTGAAAGGCAGGAGATTTCTCCACTTTTCTCACCAGTTTCTGAAATAAGCAGTTTGTGATCATTCCCATTCAGTGACCAGAAAACTTGTGTATTAGGGAAGGGAGGTGGTCTTTTGGAGTATCATGATAAACAAATCATGTATTTAAACTTACTTGATATGCTTTGATGTATTGTTGTTCTTGTTGATACTAAAATTGTTCCATATTGTTGGGATGTTCAAGTTCTTAGATTCTTTTGACACAATCTTAGTGCTCTTTGATTGTCAATGTTTATAACATTTTCTAGGTATAAAAGAGAACATTTGTCATGAGTAAACTCTGAACTTTCTGATTTACATTTAGCATTATAGGGTATTTCCTTCTTATATGTATTTATGCATACAGGACTGGGGAACAGGATAGAGTTGCAGGGATGGTGAGAGAATTCACCAGAGAGAATGGGGAGCAAAATAGCCAGATTGATGAAGTACACTGCTGAGGGGAGCAGAGGGCAAGACAGGAGATGTTGCTGTGCCGTGTGGGCCACCTCTCTGGCCAGGGATCTAACTCATGGTGAGGCGGCTGCAGCTAGCTTCATACTGCTGTGTGCCACTAGGGAGGGCCTGATTTTATATTTTTATCTCTTCTATTATTAAAAGGGTTTGGGTCCTGATGGCATCTTGCTGTGGATTTTTAAGAATGGTTCTTTTTTGGTTTTAATACTACATGAGACTTATAGATTAAATTTTTTTTTAAGATTTATTTATTTATGCATACAGAGCTGGGGTACAGGCCAGAGGTGCAAGGGCAGGGAGAGGATTCCCCAGAGAGAGAGTGGAGAGCAGAACAGGCAGACTGACGAAGTACACTGCTGAGGGGAGCAGCGGGCGGGTCAGGAGAGGTCTGCCGAGCTATGTGGATCACCTCCGGGGCTGGGGATCGAACTTATGCTGAAGTGGCTTTAGCTTGTTAGTGCTGTCCTTTAACCTGCTGAGCCAATGGGGAGGGCCCTACAGATCAAATTTTTAAGACTTCTGTTTCCCTGTATCCTCTTTCTCACTAAGTTACGTCCTTTTATTCAGTTTTCAAATATTAAACAAAATATATATATACCAACAAGCATATCTACGTGTGTGTTCATATTTATTCCTACCTGTCTTTCTTAAAGTGCTATACTTCACCCTGCTTTATCACTTACTAATGTATCTGCAATTAGTCCATAGTGATAAATATATAAATATTTATGTATATTTATTAATATTTGCTTATTATAGATTCGTTTATCCTTTTTTATAGCTATATGTACATTGTGTGGGTGTATCATATATTATTACACCTTATTCTCCACTGGTGGACATTTTTATTATATCCAGTCTTTTTGGTATTAGACATAGTGCTAGAGTTAATACTCTTGTACATATTTATTTACCAGTGTGTCTTTGGTACAGTTTCTTAGAAATGAGTTTGTTGTGTCAATGGAAATATCATTTTTCTAGAAATTACCAAATGTCTTCCTGTACCACTTCACATTTCCAACAACGCAGTAAAATGCCTAACTCTCACCAATAGAACATATATTCAAACTTTTGGTTCTCATACTGATGAATGAGAAAAGGTATTCCTCTCTAGAAAGACTAAGTGTCTTTACATATTTTCAAAATCCCTGTGTATATCCTTTACAGTATAATCCATATACCATTTTCTGTAAGATTTGTGGCTTGTAATATAAATGGAAAGAAAAACATATTCAGTTAGTCAGTTGTTTCTTAGTTTGAACATGGAGCATTTGGAAATGTTCATTTTTGTAAATTATTTTTTGCTTTTCTACATTAATTTTTTAGTATGTTACTTTATTAAATTTAAGTTCTCTTCCTGTATAAAGTAGTTTTCCCATTAATATGGTGGAGGAAGGGCTTCCAGATGTCTATAGCTATATCATCTTAAAGTATATCTAGCTTTATATCCTTTCCAATTCATAATATTTTCTATTATCTAATTAGACTTTATAGTACTGCTGTTACAGTATAAATAGTATTAGGGAGCATGTGCATCTTTGTCTTATTATGGTCTTTGACAGTTATTTTGTTTTTTTCTTTAAAGGCACTTACAATTCATGATACAGAAAAATGTCAAGCATGGGATCTAGGAACCAACTTTTTTGTCTGTGAAGATGATGTTGTTAATATGAGAAACAGGTGAAGATACTTTGTATTATAAAATCTTTTTTAAACTTTTAGAATATTTTCTGTGTCTGATTGAATCCATTATTGAACTCATCACTATAAATTCATACTATTGTAGATAAGTATTGACGATATACTAACTATATTGTTGAATTTGATATACTCACATTGCTACCTAGGAATGAATTTCTCTTTAGATTGTTAAAAGAGGTCTTTATTATTGGTGAATCACTAAAAGACTTAAGGAGCTTGGACTTGGTTCTATAAAGGTACATTTTGAGATTGTGTGGGTTATAGAATACAGTTGTATGTGACTTGTCAAGATCATGTAGTTACCTAAAAAGATAAATCTTAGCACTTTGTTATTCCAAAGTTCATTATGGTCCCATTGAAATCTTGTCCTTTAGCTTCCTCTTATCTCAGCAATGCCCAAATTTGATATATTAAGTATCTTAAACAAAAGAATAACAAAAGTCGCTTATACATTTTTTTTAGGGCTGAAGCTGTACTTCAACATATTGCAGAACTAAATCCATACGTTCATGTCACATCATCTTCTGTTCCTTTAAATGATAACACAGATCTCTCCCTCTTAAAGAAATACCAGGTTGGTACTCTTTTATATTAGATGCTATTAGGAGATTCCAAGTAAATTGTTTAACATTAATATGATATAACTAGTTAAACCTAGTCTGTTAATCGAAAACAAAAGATTTCAGGTTAAAAAGACTCCTATTAGAATAATACCTTTCAAATGCTCCATTTCAGGGAAAGTCTATGTTCAATGCAATTATATGAATCTGTCATTTTCACAGTAATATTCATAAAAAAAAAAAACTACCCCAAACTGAACGGCATTGTAGCAGCGTGCATTTATTTCTTTCTTAGTACCTGCAAATGAGTTGGAGTTCAGCTGTTGTAGACCGAACTTGAACTCCAGAGACTGAGTTCTGCTCTATATGCCTCTCTTCTGGGACCACGAGGCTACCTAGGACATGGTCTTTTGACACTTGCAGAAATGGAAAATGGTAATCTAACTAAGCACATTTCAAGCCTTTGTTCACATTAGTTGCATTAGTATGTCACATCCAAAGTCAAGACTAGGAAAGTATGCTCTTCCTAAGGTAAAGGGTGGTATATAATCTGATTAAATAAACATGAATCAGTAACGCAGTCTTCTTTAAGTAACTAAAAAAAAAAATTTCAGCACTTTGGAGACTGATCTTCCCTGTGATTAAATTATGTTACCCCTTTGTCTAGGAGAAAACATGCCTCTGTTTTCTCTTACTGTCAAAACTTACAGCACTTCTATGACCATATGTTTGTGGATTTTTCTCTCACACTAAGCAGGTGAATGTCAGTACAATTCTAAATATTAACTGTAACTCAGTTCAGTTTTAACTCCCTACCTGGATATAACATCAGATCCCATAGGTTGAGGACTCAATTTCACAAGATTCCTACCCCTGCAGACACCAACCCAAGACCTGGCTGTTTACTGTATTAATGATAAACCAAAAGTTTCCACAATCTATTCCTCTGGTTGAGTTAATTTTCTTTATCAGCTTACTTGATTACTGCTTTATTATAAAAAGACATAACTATATAGAACAACCAAGTGGCAGAGATGTATATGACATGCTTGAAGGGAGGGAATCAGAACTTTCATGCACTCTCTAAGGAAGCAAGTTCCCAACACTTCCCATGTTCACCACCACAGAATCTTTGAATCTCTAGTTCGGAGATTTTTAGGGAGGCTTTATTATGCTGCCATGGGATTAAAGCATTGACTATTAGTATTTAAGTTGCTTTCCAGGCTTTTAAGCTTCCTCTCAGCAGGTGAGTACAGCAGGTCAAAAATGGATAGCTAAAAGAAACCAGAGAACTATTCACTGTACGAACACTGTTCAAGAACAGTATTTACCTGTAACATTTTCTGGGAATTAATGGTTACATAGGACACAGATACAAAATAGGTCACATGAGATAGAGAAATGGAATTGAGACCTGCCTCCTCTTTGTCAAGCTGGGTCTTGAGCTTTACCATTGGCAAAAGTGTGCATAAGAACAGTCTTTGCTTATTAGAACAAGAAGTGCATGTCTGTTTTCTTCGCTCTCTGAATGAAAAAACAAGATCTTCTATGCCTTGGAATTCATTACCATAGTCCTGCCCTCGCATGAGTTTATACATCAACTTTATAATCTTTTGTGTTCAGTTTCCAAGCTGTGAACTTAACATAAAAAGTAGTGCTGGTGGTGCAGCAGGTTAATGCACAGCACTAAAAAGCTAAAGCCACTTCAGCATAAGTTCGTGACCCACATGGCATGGCAGACCTCTCCTGACCTGCCTTCTGCTCCCCTCAGCAGTATACTTCGTCAATCTGCTTGTTCTGCTCCCAAATCTGTCTCTGGTGAATCCTCTCACCACCCCTGCACCTCTGGCCTGTGCCCCAGTTCTATATGCATAAATTAAAAAAACTTTAAACAAAAAATGTAGTGCTAAGCTGCTGAGGCCCTAGGCAAAAAGAAAACTATACAGATCTTGGCCATAGTACTGGAATAAGTATATAAAACCCTTTTGAAAATGAGTTTATAATACATATGTAATACATAGTAACAAGTCACCATTTAATAATATGATAAAGAACCAAACAAAACTTTTAGGAATGAAAATAGTCCTAAAAATTAAATGCAGTCAATTAATTAACAGTCTATATAGAACAACTGAACAAGAAATAGTAAATTAAAAGATAAATCGAAGGAAATTACTGTAATTAAGAGTGCAGCATGGGCTCTTCCTGGTGGCACAGCAGGTTTAAGTGCAGCACTGTAAGCCAGCCACAGCTGCTTCAGCATGAGTTTGATCCCTGCCCTGAAGGTGATCCACATGGTGTGGCAGACCTCTCCTGACCTGCCCGCTGCTCCCTCAGCAGTGTACTTCGTCAGTCTGCCTGTTCTGCTCCCCACTCTGCCTTATGTGAATCCTCTCCCCGTCATTGCACCTCTGGCCTGTACCCAGTTCTGTATGCATATGTAAATAAATTTTTAAAAAGTTGGAGGACAGAGCCACAAATATTCCTATTTTTAAAAAAAGAGAGTGCAACACACACAAGTAAGAAAATATAGGAGAGAAATTAAAAGAAATGAGACTGTAAATGAAAAGACTTAGTTCATGAGGGTTGGATTTTTAGAAGGAAAGCATTAGGGAAGGACATTTGTTAAATTATGACTGAGAAATTCTCATCATTGCTGAACCACAAATCAGATTAAGTATGTGCTGAGTTTTGGGTATGATTTTACTCTACTTACCTAGTAAGTTAGCCTCATACTAGAAAAAAAACATGAGAATCTTGGGTCAGAGGATAAGGTATAGAATTATTTGATACAGTTTTTCTGCTCTTCCCCCTTCCTCCATATACCACTGTTTTAATTTGGAGGACTCAGTGAATACTTCTATGTGTAGTGGGTTTCTTTATAGGAGAAGAACATTGATCTTTGAGGGCCCTACTTTTTCTCTCTTTTAAGCAAACAGTAAACAAGCCTACTTTTTCTTCCAGTACAGATATTACCTCATTCTTCATGTTTTCATAAAACAAATATAATTCTGAGAAATGGCTTAAATAAAAAATGGTGAGCCTTGCATTCATTGCATACCCAATAATAACATGTATGAAGAGTAAAAGACCTCCATGAAGAAGTGTTCTCCTGTAGGAAACATACCATATTCTGAGTCAAAAAAAAAAAAACTAAATTACATTTCTACACTTGTCATGAAACTTACCAGTTCCTGGAAACCAGTGTTATGGCTGGGATTCTAGTTCTGCTTTTATCACTTCATAGACAAATGACTTAAAGAAACTGTTTAATGTCTGAATCCAAATTACGTACGATAAAATGTAGTTATAAAACTTTTTCAACTCATCTCACATCACGATCATAAAAACACATTGAAAATTATAATCTGCCTTTGTAGAACTTGCTAGCATCACTAATGATGTTATTTCTTATTGACTTAGTTTGTGAATTTGTTAAATCTCAACTAAAAAAAAAGCTAAACAAATACCTCTTAAGAAATGTGCTTGTTACCCCCCTTAAACAAGCAATAAGTTAATATTCAGGTGAGTAGGTTAGTATTTCCATAACAGCAAGAGACAAAAGAAAATATCCACTTATTTGGAGGGTTTAAGTGCCAAATAGGATATTATGGTTTGCTTCTAACTGAAACCTATAATGGTAATTTAATTTAGTGTGGGTAGGTTTTACTCTGTATATGTTTTACTTTTGCTATTCAGTACTTTTGAAGGTATTACTGTAGAATGGAATATAATTGGATGGTATCCTTTATAAGATATAATGCAAACTGATAGGCTTCTGATTTATAAGTTGTACATTAATGAAATCATGAATTTCCTAGTCTTAAATTTCTTATATTCTTTTGTGTGTAGTGTGTAGTATTGACTGATGTTAAACTCCCATTGCAAAAGAAGATCAATGATTTTTGCCGTTCTCAGTGTCCTCCAATTAAGGTAATAATATCACTTAATAATGACGTAATTTTCAGCTATTAAAAAAGATGAAATCTTGCCTTTTGCCAATAACCCGAATGGAACTTGGGGTGATTATACTATGAGAAATAAGTCAGAAAGTGAAAGGCAGTTATCAGATGGTTTCTCTCATATGTCACTTACAAATGAACTGATACCACCGTAAAAATAACTGAGACTAAGAAAACATAAAGTGGTTACCAGAGGGTAATAGAAGATGAAAAGGGAGAGTAGAGGACATCAACCTAATAAGTAGAATTGCATAAATTTACATATTGAGGTAATATTTACATAATTTTACAAATCAATAAAATTTTAAAATTTGTAATGACATAGCTAAAGGAAGAACTATTAGAATTTGTAGCTTTTCAGGAATATGTGTAAGTATTTTTTCTCTTTTTTTGAAAGAGTAATAAGCAGAATAGCTATTGGTTCATCGAAAGTTTGGTAGAACTCGTTTATGAAGACATCTGGTCCTAGAATTTTGATTTTTTGGGAGAATTTTGATTACTGGTTCAATTTCCTTGCTTATGATTGATTTGTTCACGTTTTCTATTTCTTCCGTATTCAGTCTTGTATGACAATATAGATTCTAAGAATCTGTCTACCTCATTTAGGCTGCTGTACTTGTTTACAGATAAATGTTCACTGTAATCTCCTATAATTCTCTGAATTTCTGCTTGTCTGTTATAATTCCTCTTTCATTTTTTGATCCTATTTGAGTTTTCTCCCTCTTTTTCCTAGTAAGCATAGTTACAGGTTTGTCATCTTTATTTTTTGAAAGAAACGCCATTTTACATTCATCATAAAAGAAGAATTGTATCAGTAGCTTTAAAGGTAATTTTGAGCAAGAAAATTTCAGATTCTAAGAGTAGAGTGATGTATTACAAAAATCACTTTTTATAAAATATTTATAATTATATTTTACAACGAGTCTAATTTTTAATTTTCATTCTATTGATGAACACTGTCAGTTCCTCAGTCTTTTTTGGTTGACTCCACTCTCCATTTATTCCAGTCTAATTCCATTGAATTCCACTGCTCTTGGTGATAGGCACTCAGTTCTTCTTTTCTAAACTAAAAATACAATTCATTGCTAGTCTACTAAACCAAAATAATCTACTTCCTACATAACATGCTTGATATTTTTGGCAGGGCAGGAATTCTTGTTATATAAAATTCTTGGAATGTGTAATGAAGATGTGTTTATGTAGCTTCTAATTGTTAGTGCAAGATATCAGCTCAAATACCAAAATACTTGATTCCTAAGCCAATTTACGGCAAATAATGTTATCTTTGTGACTTCCTTTATACCAAAGGATATACTTATTAATGAAATTGTCATAAATGGCTTAAGGTTGTTTTTTAATTTTAAGGTGTGAATAGGTAAGCTTGAGCTTACTTACTTTTTTTTAATCATTTCACAGTTCATCAGTGCAAATATACATGGAATTTGGTCACGGTTATTTTGTGATTTTGGTGATGAATTTGAAGTTGTAGATACAACAGGAGAAGAACCAAAAGAAATTTTCATTTCAAACATTACGCAAGTATGATATATATGTATGTTATTATAATATACTACTGATTTTTTAAAAATTGATGTGAATACTACTTTAGAAAGGTAGTATAAGATAAATATTGTAATATGCAACATTTTTCATTTGTTTTGTTACAAATGACTATTCATGAGGGAATAGTTTGTTCATTTCTTGATTGCATTAGTTAAAACTAAGTTGAAGCTAGAATGTCGAATGTATTCGCCATTCCTTCTAACATTAATAATTGATAATTTTACATTTCTTTATGTCATACTTTTTAATTTTTGTTCTGTGTCATGTTTGCGAGGGACATAAATTGTAGTTTATTGTTTAATGAACTTTATTTAAAGGTCCATATCATACATGTATTACTTATATCATCATAAGTCATATGTCCTAACATTAATTCCAGATGCACATTTCAGTCATCAAAAGCTCTTCTAAGCTATTATTTCTACCACATTATTTAAAGGGGGGGAAAAGTTTAAGAAATAATTGACCTTCATGTCCAAGATAGCTGAATATATAACATATTCTCTTGACATCACGTAAATTTTGTATTTTCATTCCCTAGAACTGTAGAAGTCCATTATGATCCATTTTTACTTTTCCTTTTTTAGCCTAAATCATTGACTTTATATGTTCTGTGTATAAATTTATTTAGCCATTTATATATATAGTTACATATCAATAACTTTCCTGACAGTTAATTTACATTAAAGCTGAAAAGAAGTTAAATATGAGGGAATGCTAGTGTACTTTGACTAATAATATTGTGTATCTGTCTTTGTGCTTTTTTTATGATATGTATTTTTAAGATGAGGGAGCTATATCAGTTTACAGTGCTGCATGTTGAGTTATAGTATCACATCCTACAGGTGTTTGTTACCAACCCACACCTACTTTATCATTTATTTTAAAACCCAATGTAATTTTACCTTTGTCACCCCCTTTTAAGAAAAAAAACTCATTGAAAAAATCCATTTTGTGTATCCTGATTCCAAGGTGGTTTATCATTTCACTTTTGTACCCCTATTTGTTTTTGGTTTGGTTTCAAGAATAATATAATATGTAGAACATACTACAAGTTATAGTTTAGGTCTTTGCATTTCATTGGTATCTTCTTCATGGCATAGTGAAGTAAATATTGAGGTTATGAAGAAAATGAGAAAATATTATAAATGTTCCCATTTAATTTATTTATAGATTACTTATTAAAAGTTCTGGAAATTCTGTCTTCATGAGATACTAACTACATATTCATGACCATAATTTTAACATAGTTATCCAAATCATTAAACTGAAAGAGAATTTCTCTAATTATACAATTACAAGACAATAATTTCATTAAGTTATAAATAGAATTATTATTGCCTTATATTGAGCAATGTTGTAGGACTATATATAACTGGGAAATTTTCAGACCTTTTGCCTCTCATCCATCTCCTGTATAAGCCACTTTCTTCCTATTCTATACTAATAAATAGGGCGACACAGTATTTCTTTACTTTAAAATGTGGGCAAGTTTTAAACTTGAAGTGTCTTGGCTTTAAATTTCACCCTCTTAAATTATTTTTATTTTTTGACTTTGAGCCCTCATTTATATGCACATTTTTATTATAGTGTGATTTTAAAAGTTATAGTTGATAATTTTGAATGTTTGTTATGTCACAAGAATTTGTGAAATATTTGAACTCCTATTTGAAATCTCTAAATAATCCCCAAACATAGTAGTTATATTTTCAACATTAATAATAAGAATAAACAAATCGATTGCTACATTGAGACATTTTTAAAAGGTTTGCTTTTAAAAATAAGAAATGAAAAGCTTGAAATTTTGATTGTTTTGAGAATGTTATAATATTATCCTTCTTGTTTGAGATTTGGAATTTGTGTGAAAAAAGAATACATGAACACATTTTTACTACTCCTATTTTAAGGCTAATCCTGGCATTGTCACTTGCCTTGAAAATCATCCTCACAAACTTCAGACAGGACAATCTTTAACATTTCGAGAAATTAATGGAATGACAGGCTTAAATGGATCTGTGCAACAAATAACTGGTAAGTTGTTATATTTTGCTGATGAATTTATATTTAAACATTAGTCAATAAATACACTTATAGTTCAAATACTAGATGTTTGGAACACAACATCAATTCAAACAGAAATGATCTAGTTCTTGGCTTCAAAACATTCAATTCAAGCAAGAGATGCTGATGTTCAAAAGTGATGATATAAAGAAAATATAGGCATTCTAAGAACTTTAAAGTTAGCAAGGAAACCTGTCCAGTTTAACAACTGCAGGAGTAAGAACAGGATGTATTGATAAAGTTAAAGATTGCTTTAGTTTAGGGACCCTCCCTGGTGGTGCAACAGGTTAAAGCACCACATTATGAAGCTCAAGAAGCCACTGCAGCACGAGTGTGATTCCTGGCCAGTGAGCTGACCCACATGATGTGGGAGACCTCTCTTGGTCTGCTTGCTGCTCCCCTCAGCAGTGTAGTTTGCCAGTCTGCCTGTTCTGCTCCCCACTCTGTCTCTGATGAATCCTCTCACCCACCACACCTCTAGCTATACCCCAGATCTGTAAATAAATAAATCTTTAAAAAAGTTTTTTTAATTTAGTTTAGGAAGTTGATGAATAGAATATTCTATGTCGGCATAATAAGAGCAAACAAGGAGGTAGGGAAATAAAAGATTTAACATATAAGTTGGCAATGGGAATTGTGAAGGCTTTGTAATCTCATGATAAGTGATTGAAGATAAGAACATTGGCAACTTACTTATTTACTTAGCCTTGCAAGAGCATGCTTTGGAGAGATCATGAATACAGTTTAGGTTTGTTGAGTGAAGTGGCCATGTAATATTCAAGTAGAGGTAGATGTTCTTTTACTGTGGTTTGGAGAAAAGGAATGAATGAATGAATGCCTAGATGATAAGTAATTAAAGGAGTCTCTTTTTGATTTGTTTTGTTTTTACTGGACTAAACTGAGATCATTACCCAAAGGAAATGCCTTAAAGAATTTGTGTCTGATTTTGCAAATAATTTATTTAGCTAGTCATTTAAGACTGATTGTTGTTGGGCACTGCCTGGTGGCACAGAGTTAAAGTGCAGCACCCCACAGCCACTGCAGCATGAGTTTGATCCTTGGCAGAGGAAGTGACCCACATGGCATGGAGATCTCTCCTATCCTGCCCGCTGCTCCCCTCAGCAGTGTATTTCAGTAAAATTACCTGTTCTGCTCCCCCTTCTGTCTCGAATACTCTGGCCCCCTCTACCTCTGGCCTGTCCCAGTTTTGCATGCATAAATAAGTTTTTTTTTTTTTTAATTATGATTGTTTTTATTTGGGGGTTCCTGCAATGGAAAGTAATAGTGACTGATTCAAAACTTAATGCTGCATATAAAAGGAGCCTCCACTGGATATGAGTAAAAATATAAGCCACATTTTATACCAGAATTCTTTAGACAGTGAGAGAATATTTAAATAGATGGGCAGTTTTGAAACTTTCTTCTTTTTTTAATACATGCTGATTCTTTCTACTTTGTTAACTTTCTACTTGAAATGCATTTTTAAAAAGCTAAAATTTTTGTCGTATATGTTCATATCTGTGCATATTTTTCAGTACTTAAAATATGTAAAATATTCAAATTTTAAATATTTTTATCCTTGCTCTTAACATACAATTTGGCGTATTATACTTAGTGATTTCCTTTGGCTTTCCATTAAGCAAAATACCTATGTGATCTTTTCCCATCAGTAATTATAGAATATTCTTTTTCATTCTTTTAAATTGTTTTGTACAACTGCATGGTATGAAACAAACCAGTATCACAGTATAATTTTAATTTGAAATTTGTTTTTATGAATGAGGGTAAGTGCTTCTTTTTCAAGAGTTAGATCAGTTTTCCTTTATGTGAACTATCTGTCCTTTGCCATATTGAATTGTTGATCACTTTCTTAATCATTCCTCAGAACTCCTAATTACTTTAAAGTGATATTACATTATAATTAAAGTGGCATTGATTCAGTAAGTATTTTAGTAAAAATATTGGAAATAACGTATTCAAATGGATGAAGGTTTTAAATGTCAAAAAATATGCCTAAAAATTACTGAATGAAAGTGTGGGAAAAATATTTCTTTAAAACACTCAAGTGTGAAAGGCTTTTCTGACTCAAATAAAAGAATATTATAAAAGAGAACACTAAAAAGTTGGAATATGTTATATGAATGCACAGAAAAAAATTCGTCACAAGCAAAGCTATGTGTATCTACTATGTATCTGCTTCTGGATATTCTATTCCATTTGGCTGCCTGCCTGTTCATAAAATGGTGTCACATTAAATTATTAATTATTAATTCTGTATCAATGTCAGCACTTTCATTACTGGTCTTATAAAATATTGTAATATGTAATATTTTATAAATAGTAGTATTTATAGTAATATCTTATTAAGGCTAAATATTAATATTAATATGTATAGTAATATTACATTTTTCCCCCTTTGAATTTTCTTTACTAATTTTGTTGAGCCGTAAAATTCACTTTAAAAATAATCTGTCTAGCTCTCTGTACTTTCCCCAAAAAAAGATTCATAGTGGTATATCCTTAATTTTGTAAGTTTGAGGAAAGTAGCTCCTTTAGGCTGGTAAATCGTAAAATTTAAATACCTCTCTTTATAACCATTTCTTGTGTGTGTGTGTGTGTGTGTGTGTTTTTAATCTTTTAGTGGTATCACCATTTTCTTTTAGCATTGGTGATACTAGAGAACTGGAACCTTACTTACATGGAGGCATAGCTGTTCAAGTTAAGACTCCTAAAACATTTTGCTTTGTAAGTATTTTTTGCCAACTTAAATATTTCATTACTGAATAATGACAAAAGTTAAAACTACTATGTTATTATCACAGTCGTTAGCTTAAAGGCTGAATAGATTTTGTATTTTAATTTTCATCCACTTTCAGCTAGAATACTAAATTCATACAACTGAAGCATATTAAGTTAACTAAAGGAACTATAATTTTTGGAATCATCAAATTATAATTCTTACAATTTTTTAATGGGAAACAAGATAAAGCTAATATTTTTTTTCTAGACATAACAAGCTTTGGAGTAGCTTGTGTTTTATTACTTAGAAATAAAAGGAGTGTTTTCATACTAGTTAATTTTTTTAATATTTTTTTAAATTTCAAGAGTGTATGTTGGAAGTATAAGATAAATCCTGTAAACTGTCTTTGAAAGGGAAATGCAAGTCTCTGAAGAGAGTGAATTAGAGGCTGTATCAAAGACTACAGTCTCCTGCTGGTTTAATCCATAGGGGATATCTTAGTATAATACATATTTAGTTTTCCTTGCAAATTCTCAAGATTTTAACTTGACTACCTTTCTGGTTATAGATAATTGTTGTCTTTTCCAAGACTTTGTTCAAGCCAGAGTTAGAACAAAGCAATAATTAAAATTCTACAGCTAGTCAAATCTCCCCTACATTGCTTTCTTTTGCTGTTGCTTAATTAGATAATTTATGTATCAAATAAATTTCAGGTTAGGTGGATTTTTTTGTCTGTGCTTCATTGTTATGTTAGTTTTTATGTTGTTGTTTGTATGTACTTTGTGCCAAGGGTAAATTTTTATTTTGAGTATTTATTCAAGACTTGTCAAGCATTGCAAGTGTTGATAACTTAATATCAGAAAGGTATGACAAGCTTTTCAATTAAAACAGTTTGTTTGAGGGTATATAGATGTTCACCAGTTCTTCCTAAATTATGTGAAGCTTGTTGTCCTTTTGCATTAACATTAAAAAATAAAGTGTGTTAAGACAAGAAGTAACGGGAAAGGGTAATTAATTGTTTTATATTTCAGTTAAAGCTTATTAGCTCAATCTAAATTATTTCAGACCTTTGGGAGATATTTGTGCTTTTGTGCTTTGACATGTAACAGTGTTGCTTCATCTGAAGTTTTTTGGAATTTTTTTTACCACTTTAGGAGCCATTGGAGAGGCAAATAACACATCCAAAGTACCTTATTGCGGATTTTAGCAAACCCGAGGTAAATAAACACTTTTAGGTATGAGACAAGAATGCCTTTAGGGAAAAGAATTAGTAGGTAATGTGATTATAGAATTTAAAAATGGAAGAAGTGTGTATATATCTATTTCAATAAACATGTGATATTTAGATTTCTAAAGTTGACTCCTGAGGGTTAAAAACAGGACTTTTTTTTTTTGTTCGTGGAAAACTATTAGAATAATAGAAACAAGTTTTATTTTTGTTACAATATGCAATTTTATGGAATATTGAAAGACAGTTTCACTAATTTATACTAAGGTAATCTAATTAAAAGATCTGTTTTTTAAACCCCGTATTTTTTTAAATCAGTAAATATATTTTATAGCAGTGAATATGTTTTCACAAAGTAAGAATTGCATCATTAACGGTTGCCAAATTTATAAATGTTGACAGGTGAAAAGGATTAGGCGATCTAGTACAAATATTGTTCTTATTTAGCTAACTTTACTGTAAATTTCATGTGAATGACTTAGTAAAAACAAATCATACAAACTGGGATTGAAACGTGGATCTGTTATGTATTTGTGGCTTTGAGTCATTAGGCTAATATGTTTATTGTAAAGAATAAATTACATCATGTTTAAAAGGATTAGCATAGTGACTAAAACTCAAATATTGATCTTCTTCTAATATTGTAAATAGGTACCTTTACAGATTCACACAGCTATGCTTGCCTTGGACCAGTTTCAAGAGAACTATGGCCGTAAGCCAAATACTGGGTAATGTTCTTTATTTGAAGTAACTTTTTTCCTTATGACAGGAGCTTCTCAAAAGTTATATATTAAAAACTTTTAAAAAGTAGCAAAATGTATCTTGTTGCTAGATATATCAAACTATAAACATCTTTTTTATGACCGTCTTTTCAGTGGGAGTGGAAAGATCAATTTATATAAGTGGAATACACTTAAATAAGGATTTTCTATTTTGAAATTTTCAAAAACTCCCAATTTTTAAAACAAAAAAACCTGAGAAATATTACCAGTTTTGTATAACAGTTTTACCTTTTAGACTATTAAGTTAGAAATGTTTTTACAGAAGTTTTCTGCCATTTATATTTAAAGTAAATATTTATAAACTGTCCTTTAGATGAGCATGATTTTAGAGCAATCTGTAATAAGTAATTATTAATCACTAATGTAATTACTTTGTGCTGCCTGTTGTCAGAATTCCACATTTGTATGTTTCTTAAATTGTAGTTTTCTATATGGCAATTTTCATAACATTGAGATAATTGAAATTGGGATGTTTTGTTTTGAATCCTAGATGCCAGCAAGATTCAGAAGAGTTAATGAAATTAACAATATCTATAAGTGAAACCTTGGAAGAGAAGGTAAATATCCAAAGTTATGGACATTAAAAGTTAACATAAATGTTCTATATGTTAATATTCTCTTATTCTTCAGGTCCTCGCTTTATTAATTTTTGGCTGTGACAATAAGCAAGTCACTTGACTTTCATTTTGCTTTAGTTTACAGAGTTGTAAAATGGGATTATTGTACTTCATAGGGTCACTGTGATTGTGAAATGACATTCACAGTATATGGAATATAGTAATTACTATTTGCTGATGGTACTATATTTTTGGTATTAGAATTACCTCTTCTGGTCCTTCCTGGTGTTGCATTATATTAAAGCGCAGCACTGCAAGCTAGCCACAACAGCTTCAGTGCAAGTTGGATCACCGGCCCCAGCCCCGGAGGTGACCCACATGGTGCAGCAGACCTCTCCTGTCTCATCTGCTGCTCCCCTTAGCAGTGTACTTAGTCATTTTGTCTGTTCTGCTTCCCACTCTGTCTCTGGTGATCCTCTCACTGCTCCTGCATCTCTGGCCTTTATCCCAGTTCTATATGCATAAATAAATTTAAAAATCTTTTTTAAAAGATTACTTTCTTTGATTTATTGGGTTTGTTGACACACAAGAATTCACTCTCATCTTTCCTAACTAACCATCATCTCTTTTCTATATTATATATACATTATCTTTTAACTGCATTTTATGTACGGTATTTAGACAAAGCACCTAGAAAATTTTTTTCAATCTTTGATGCCAAATTTCTGTTATTTATTTGGGAGAGAAATTTTTAATAGCTGAAATGTTTTGATTTTTATTTTCTATGCCTATCTTACATTTGCTTTGTGTGATAAACTGATTTTTATGCTTTTTTTATTTTTGGATAGCAAAAGGGTTCTAGATTTCTTTTTATTAAGCATCCCTCTTCTGTTAGGATACTGAAAAGGAGTTTTATAGTGAGTGATTTCTTTTGGTGAGAACTGTGTGTAAATCTTTTGTATCTCTTTGATTTCTGCCAAATCCTTAAATTACCTCTATTCATCCTTTTTCCCTTTGTCAAAGGATGCTCTCCTTTTCTGTTGCATCATTCTCTCCCAGAGATGTCGTTTTGCCATAGCCAGTGCTGAGCTCTATCAGATTCTATGACTCTTTTGTACTTGGTATGAAACTTGTTTTTTCTAAGGATGGTTTTGACAAAATTTTGTTGCCATTGGGTCTTCTGTTCTCTTTTCTGTGGTCACATGCTTCCTGCCTTCTCTGCAGGTTGCAGCAAAGTGAGGTCCAGAAATAGTTCTGTTGGGTTTGGTGTTTATTTCTCTATTTATAGGTTATTTAAAAGTTCATAATATTTTGTTACTCAGTAATGCTGAAGGCCTGCCACTGTTTTATATCTCTTCTTGTGATATGTATCTATTTTTTGAGATTGTGTGGGGGAAATTCAGACTTAGACAGAACCAAAATAATTGAAATTTGGACGGTGGTTTGTTCATTTAAAAATTGTAGAATCTTAGGAGATAATATAACCTAGTGGATGTAGCTGTGGTGTTGAATTTGTGGGTTGAGATTCTGATTTTAACACTTGCTATAAAATCCTGAGTAGGTTGCTTAATCTTTCACAGTTACAGTTTTCTAATTTATCTGATAGTAGTTTAATTATCTAGGATTGCTTTGAAGATTCTATGAGGATCTAAGGTACAACAAAGAGTAGGTGTTCTTATTACCTCCTACTAGCATTCTTATCAATGTTTTAGATGTTGACTAACACCAATACTTTGCTTTCAAACTTTAAATGAAATCATCATCTATGCGAATTGAAAAGAATACTGAATAATTGAAAAGAATGGAGTGAGTGAGAATAATGAGGAGATAATAACTTCTTTGTATCATAGTATCTTTAAGCATGTAATAAAAGTCATTCCTCTTCCCACATGTAAATGTACAAGTATTGTTATTTTAATAAGTAAGATTTTGAGCCCTACTGAAATCTTAAGGTTAAGATTACTAATGTTACAAGAATAGGAAGAGAACCAGTAGCTGGAACTTATGAAGAGATTTTTCTCACAAATAAGAAATTGTGCTAAAACAACATCTCAATACAATTTTCCATTATTTCTTTAAATGTTCTGAAAAATCTTATTTTGAGAAACTTTTTAGGTATGACAATGATAATGTGATCATTGCTCTTAGATAGTATGCAAAAATGCCATCACTCACTTTCAAAATTATCTTTTTTAGCAATGTATTCACTTGTATACTCTGCAATTTCAAAGAAACTGATAGTCCCTTATCATTTTTTGTAGATCATTTTTTTTTAATCTATGTTAAATATTTTCCCATAGTTTCCATGAAAATTTTATTGTGTTCTGATCATTAGTAAATATTTACTGATGCTACAGAGTTGTTCTTTTAACAAAAACTATAAATGATAGGTAAATAATTCCATTTAATTCTAAATGGTGCCCTAGTATAACATATAAGTCAAAAAGTAAAAATGAACAGAGGGTAATAAATATGCAATTGGGACTTTCATTATGAAATTGGGACTTTTTTAACACTTAAAATTACTAAAGAAATTAAGTAGCTTTTCCAGAAATTGAACGGTAATTTTCATTTTACATCATTGAAATTTTTAATATACTATTTGAATACTCTTAACAATATTATCTTTTATGATTTTTGTTTTCAGCCTGAAGTAAATGCTGACATTGTGCATTGGCTCTCTTGGACTGCTCAAGGCTTTTTACCCCCACTTGCTGCTGCAGTAGGAGGTGTTGCAAGCCAAGAAGTATTGAAAGCTGTGACAGGAAAGTTTTCTCCTTTGTGCCAGTGGGTTAGTTTTGTATTTTAGCATTTTTTTTTAATATTTGGCATTTCCACCAAATGAATAATGAATCTTACGAATTATAATACAGTATTATTTAAAATAAAAGCAACTTTGAATACCTTTCTGATACATGAGGGAGCTGTAATACACCAATAAATCTTAACTCTATAATTGAAACTGACAAGATCTTATGTTGAAGCTATTGGGCTATAACCCATAGTTGCATTCTGGAATGTATTTCCCTCATTGTGAATGTGAAAATGAATTTCCTATTCTTACAAATAGCATTCATGAGTTCTCGGACTCCTGAATTTGTTCCTTGCATTCTTTCCACATCTGTAATTAAACTTTCATATTGCCTTCCTAAATATATACTTGTAAAAATAGAAAAAATAGGAATGATACAAGCTTACAAATTATGTAATGTTAAAACATTAAAAGGTGGAATAGAAACCCTTGTTTCTGTTTCCACAAGAAATAACTACAAGGGTTATTAAAGTTTAGTATTCAGGCCCTTCCTATTTTGTTGAAATGTTTTGAATGTAACATTTATCTTCTATCTTTTAAAAAGTATCCACATAGTGAGATTTGCAACTGAGTTATTGGGTTTATTTTAACACAGAATTCAAACTCACTTGTTGAAGTCTAGCTTAGATATAACTTAACAGTATGGGAAACTTAAATTATTTGTTATTAATATAGATTCTGTGTCATAATTAAAGTGACTAATGGTCATGTAAAAATTTAGCCACATAAGTTATTTCTATGAAAAAGAGAGCTTCAGTTCTTTTTTTCCTTAAGTTTATTTCAGTTTGGTGGCTTCCTAAATTCTTGTATAGTATTTATAATTATAAATGACATATAATATAACCAAGTTAGAATATAATACAGATTAGGACTTTCATCAAGTGAATTATTTAAATATAGCTGAAATTAAATAGAACTTCCAGAGTTTTTAACATAGTCATAAAAATAAGTTTGGAATTAAAATTTCCTTTTGTTTGTTTAAATTACATCTCTCTATATATATACACCAGCATAATGAACCAAACATATAATGAATCAAAAATGTCTTTTAATAGTTCCTTCAGTTTTAACCATAGTTTCAATGAAAGAATATAGGAATGTATATTGTATTTTAATAATTGTGCTTTATTATTTTACTCTGAATTGGCATTTTTATCAGTTTTCTCTAATGAATGTTAAATAACTGCAGAAGAGAAGAATTTTTTTTCTAATAACTTAAGTTTTATATGTATTTAAGTTGTGTTTTTATCTTCTATTTCAAGTTATTCATTGAAGCAGCAGATGTTATTGAATTCCTAGGGAAACCTGAACGTGAAGATTTTCTCCCACGGTAATACTGAATTAGAATTGCTTTTTTCTCAGTTGTATGTTTATAAGAGGCAACTAAGTCAAAAGAGTTTTTTTTAAAACATGCATTTGCTTTAGATGGCTTTTCCCCTAACTCATTTCTGTTGTTTCTTTGCATAAAGTCTATTTTAGATATCACAATTCTACCATATCTCTATAAAAAATATGAAGGTTTCACTTATATGTAAAATTGGTTAGATTCAATATACTGTTCTGATATTAATTCAAAGCAATTCTTATCTACAAGTTTTATTTTTATTAGTCATTCTTTACCTTTTTGGTTCACAGATCTCTTTGAGAAGCTGACAAAAGTTTATGAATTCTCCCTAAGTACATATACCCAAATCTGTTTTCTATTTAAGTGAATGAACAACTCCAAAGCCTATCTAGAGACTTAAGGATCTTTATTAAAACCCCTGCCTTAGAAAAATTATCTTTTATGCATAAACTAAAGGAACCTTCACTTAAACCATTTTGACTTAAGATATTAACTGATTGGGAAAGAAAAACCGACTCCTTTATGAATTCTTTTCTTTCAAATAAGATAGTTTCTGTTAGCTTGGGAGAAACTTTTTTAGAGGACTAGGAAGCTGTTGAATATTATTTTGTAAGTAGAGCATGAAATTAGTTCTAACAATTATAAAACTAACCTTAATTTTTTATGCATTTTCTTGGTCATTATTGTTTACCTCAGAGGAGATAGATATGATGCCTTACGAGCCTGCATTGGAGACACATTGTGTCAGAAGCTACAAAATTTAAATATTTTCTTAGTAAGTATGAGCAATGATAAGAATAAATTTATATAGTCAAGTTGCCATTGTGTATCATCAAAAATCAAAAATTTGAGGCTAAGCAAGTAAGGTTTCTAACATAGTAGATGCTGAGTAAATGTTTGAAATAATTGGTTTACATTCTGTGACTCCCAGACCAAATTCATCTTGATGCCTGTTATGTAAATAAACATTCACTGGAATACAGTCATGCCTTTTCATTTACGTATTTTTGTGTGTGTGTGTCTTTTTCATACTATAATGATATAATCAAGTAATTGTAAATCTTACAATGATATAATCAAGTAATTGAAATCTTATGCCCTGCAAAGCTGAAAATACTATCTGACCCTTGACAAAAGTTTATAATCTCTAATGAATTAGCACATTAAAAAATGAGCATAAAGTTTTGAATATTAAATGATAGTTTAGAGATAAAGCTGTGGTTTTTTCCAGTTTTTATTTCTTACCAAATGAACAAATACATAGGTGAATTCTGCCCTTTTTAGATGTCTTGATACATTGGTAGGGAAATTTTCCCCAGTAGCATAAAGCTTCTCTTCCTGCCACTTGTGGGTTTATTTTATTTTAATTAGTTCTGAAAATACTGGTGATTTTTAGTAATAATTTTAAAATAATGTTTTAAAAATTAGCAACTATTTCTAAGTTTATGCATATGGAGTCAACTATTAATCATTTTTTACATAGGAAATTCTTAGCATAGTTATATCTATCAGATGGGTGGCAAAATTATAGAGGAACTCTTCCAATAAAATGTTGCACTGATGTTTTATTGTTACTTGTTTATTTTATATAAAAATGGTCAGTTTATCTTTTGTCAGTGTATCTTTTATTTGGAATTTTGTTAAGACTTTACATTTAAAGGAGTTTTAAATAATGTTTAGTAAACCAGATAATTAATTGAAAAGAATCACAAATGTTAAGATAATCTTTAAAAGTTATGTATTTTTTGTTAATTAACATTTGAAGGAATTTAAGATGAAATTGCTCTTTAGTAAAAAGTTCTAATTTTATTAAATCTGATATTTCATTTTTCTCATCTGTAGGTAGGATGTGGAGCCATAGGCTGTGAAATGTTAAAAAATTTTGCTTTACTTGGTGTTGGCACAAACAAAGAAAAGGGAATGGTAAGATGTCAATCCTTGAGAACTAAGGGTTTACATTTCTGTTGCTGTTCATTGTCTGTTTAATTATATTTTTTTGGTTGAAGTAATGTTTGCATTCTTCCTGTCAGGCATTTTCACCATAATGCACCCACCACTGAATCACCCACAGTCCACCCATAATCCATGATGCTTCCTTCTCTCTTGTTCTTATATCTTTCTTCCCCCTTCCTTTTCTGGGTGCTTTAGTTATAGTCAGCTAACAAGGGTTAGTTTTTAGGATTGCATTTGTTTATCTGACCCTTAGTTTAGTTATTCTGTATTCTACACATTAATGTTGACATTCAGTATTTATCTTTCTCCTAATTTCTTTCAATAGCATTATCCCTTCCTGTTCTACCCATATTTCTACAAATGGCATGAGATTACCTTTCTTGATTGCTGAGTAATATTCCTTGTGTGTATGTGTGTGTCACATTTTTTAACTCTTTTGACCATAGATTGGGAATATTGTTTTTAAGGGATAAAATTAAAGTAGAAATTGAGAGATCTTAATACCTTTCTAATCATTTTTCCTATAAATCAGGCCCTGTGGCAGTTTTAACTCTCTGCCCCTCAGTTTCTACCTCTAAGTCTGTGAAACAGATACGTGTACTGCCTACCTCATAATAGATGAGGATTAAATGGGAAGGGGCTTTGCAGCTATACAGCACATTAATACTAATTCTCAGATGCAATTTTTTAAATTTTCCAGATGGGAAAGCAGATTACTCAGGTATAGTTTCATTTGCTGATCAGTAAAAGGAGAGGGAATAATATAAACATTGTACAGTTTAAATTTTAAGACTGTAAATATGAGTTAGTTGGGAATCCATGTCATATTCACTGGTGCTGTTTTGCCTTTTTCAATATAAGCTAATTTCCCAGCATACAGATTTAATAGATTTATCATGGTGTCTGGAAGTGAATAATTAAATGACTAAAATTTATATAACTGATCACACTTTATAATTTACTAAACTTGGTTTTTTTATTTCACTTAAAAGGTTATTTGGCAATGTTCTTAAATAAAACTTCTATTTAAAAGTTTGGCGAATTTGAGACTGGGCAGTGGGAAAATAAATGTTGTTCATTGGTATCATAGAAAGTAGAAGGGAGAGTTCAAATAACCTCTAATTGTTCAGGAGGAAAATAGAATTTTAATTAATTGTAGCTCTTAAGCCCTATGTGCATGTTAAAATTCTAAGAATAACCACATAAAAATAGATGTTTAATTTCTAAACCAATCCAGAGAGGAGTGGGAAAGATTGGAATCAATCTTTGATCAGTCCAGTTGCCAAAAAAAAATAGAAGTCAATAAAAAGTGTGATTGGGGAAGGTGGGAAAGCTTTATTTCAGTAATCACAATAATTATCTGTTGACTTTTTGTCTAAACACATTTTCTGATTTTGTTTTTATTCTACTTAAAAGACATACCCTGTGCATAATTACACAGAAATGTTGAAAGTTAATGTGTTTGTGAATATCAGGCAACATGGTGGACCATGCTGCAAAAAATACTGCTCTTAATCAAGCCAGTGTAAATAACAAGAATAAGTGACAAATGCATTATGCATACTTTTCAGTGTCTGCTTTCTTTTTGCATCCTTTAGAATGGGGATCTGCAAACTTTCTTTAAGGACCATTTTCCAGCTGCTTTAGACTTCAGACTTTAAGTCTCTATAACATTAACCATTGCCACTGTACATGAAAACAGCCATAAATATTTAAATGAATTGACAGTGTTCCAATAAAACTTGATTTACAAAGGCAGGCAAACTGCCAGCTCTATAGTTTGTAGACTGGTGTTTACTAGCAAGAATTCCTTTCAAACTGAAACATGTAATAATTTTTTGAAATAGTTTGAAGATAAATAAAATTGAGAAAGAAAGCTAGCTCCTCTATTGCTAATCCATTACATGTTTCTAAAACATAATAGTGATTTTTTTTTTTACTTTTGTTCTATTATTAATAATTAGTAAAGTTTTAAACTAGAATTGCATTTGGTTTCAGCTATTTGGTGTGTTCGTACATTAATTAGCTATAAGTATTAAAAGGGTAATGTTGCAAATTGGAATATTATTATTATAACCTTTACCAGCCAGAATAATTTAGAATAACTTACAGAAGTTAGTCATTCTAAGAAAATGCAAAAATAGCTTAAAACTTGTCTATTATGTAATTTAGCTATTTTGTTGTTGTTGTTAGGTTACAGTTACAGATCCGGATTTGATAGAAAAATCCAACTTGAATAGACAGTTTCTGTTTCGTCCTCATCACATTCAGGTGTGTTGCTCTTCCATTTAAAATTCAAATATATATGAAAAAGAAGCTACCTTTTTATAAATGCAAAATGGTACTTGTATAATGAGTTTTTTATTAAAATTTTTCAAATTGTCAAATAATGGAACTAACAGGAAACATTAAAATTATTTTGTTTAATATGTATTAGAATTTTTTGTTCTTTTGGCATCTCTTTTTATTGTAACATAATGCTTGTTTTCAGTCTTTTTTAAATAGAGATCAATAAGAAAAGAAGCAGTTTAGTCACTCAAGCCAGGTATCTTGCAATTTAGAAATTTTTTACTTTATTATTGACATTTAATAACTCAGTAATCTCAGTTGATTGACTAATCTTAGAAATGTTATAAACAGAAAAGTAACTGAGGCAGGTGACAATATAATTTAATTGCTTCACTATCCAAATATAAGGATTTATGTTACAGGGTCCTGAAGTAAAGCCTATGTCACAAAATTCATTCACTTAAATTTCAGCATTTTAGTTATGGGAGAATTATGTTATATATTCTTATTTTACTGAGTTCTAAGAAAGTTTCCATTCTATATGTACAGTAACAGCCATGAGAAATAAAAATAGGTAGCCTAATAATGTGAGAAATCAGACTTAATACCATTAAAGTTAGACCAGATAAAATGGTCTATAGATATTTAGTGTCAGAGCCAGTACTACTACAACTTCAGTGACATTTGAAATGACACCAGTGATTTAGTAATGCTCTCTAAACCTTTAAGATTGCATTATATTTGGTGTATACTTTTTAAAATAAACATTTATACTATTTTAACTAGGAGTAATAAAAGTTTTAAAGAATTTTTTGCCAAAGTATTAAATTTCCATACTTTTGAGAGCTCATTTTCTGCTCTATGGTTTCTGATATGAATATTCTCTTCTTTTTCTTAGGTATTCACATAATTTAGATTTCATTACTTTCTAGTTTTCATTCATTTAGTTTTCATAAAATTTACTTTTATTTGGACTTTTAACTAATATTTTAAGAACTCTTGGAATTAGCTATATTTTAGAGGTTTAGATTTTTATGCTTTTCTGATAAATGTGCATTATTAAATGTAGTACTACTACAGTTAATATCATTTACACAATCTGAAAATGAAAATTGGTCATACTACTTTATCCTCACCTCATGTATGTATTCCAGTGTAATAAAATTATATTTTCAGTCATAACCTGCATTTTCTGTTTAACATTTACTTCTTCTGTTAATTTGTTTTTCATTTAGAAACCTAAAAGCTATACTGCTGCTGATGCAACTCTAAAAATAAATCCTCAATTAAAGATAGATGCACATTTAAACAAAGTGTGCCCGGCCACTGAGGCTATTTACAATGATGAATTTTATACTAAACAAGATATAATTATTACTGCATTAGATAATGTGGAAGCCAGGAGATATGTAGACAGGTATGTTTTTGAAATTCAAATTCATAAAGAATTGTCTTTGTTTTTACTATTTCCTATACATACTGAAAATTTACTGATTTGCTTTTATTATTATTCCCTATTTGTTACAGTAATTCTTAAACCCAGAATCTTTAACATGACCTAGTGGTTTTTATGGTTTTCTGCCAGCTGCCCATTGCTTCCATGTAAAATTTATCTGTTCCATCCTAGCTCCCCTTACTCTAATTACACATTCCTTTTAGTTCTTATTGGGTATCTGGAACTTTTTTTGTAACTCAGAGCCTTGTGCCTACTCTGCTTCAACCTCAGGAAGTTTGATAATCTTGTTCTAAAATCCCTGATTTGTCATCTGTGTATTTATTCTCCACCTACTGTGATTTTCCCTCATCCTTTGAGTTTGGAATACATGGCTTCCTTTGACAGACTTGTTTAGTAGCCCTCAAGTCCTAAATAAGATCCATCTGTGGTGATATTTGAGAGCACCCTACCTTTTCTTTCATAACACTTGTTTTTATTGATACAGAAAATTATTTATTTGAACACTAAATCACTTTTTTAGAAACTGTTTACTTTTCTATCACTGTATCTTCTGTACCCAATGCATGATGTCATTAAATATTTGTTTAATAAGCAGATGATTGAATGTGTGTAAGGTGTAGTCTTTACATATTTCTTACAGGTTAATGTGACTAATGTTAGTTGCTAAAGCAGATATACTAACAGAAATTTACTAGTTGAGACTAGTAAAAATTTTATAATCTTGGGCAGAGGAAAGAAAAAAACTTTAAGAAAGTAAAGTTTAATTATAGGCATTGTGAATATTGAGGAATAATATTAATATTGTTTGGGGTAAAAACAAAAATTGAGAAGATATAGTGGGATAGTATTTACAGTCAAAAAGTAACCAAAGAAATAGAAACCAAAAGAGGAATGGTAACACAGTTAAGAGTCATTTAGAAGGGTGCAGCAGACCTCTCCTGTCTTGTCCACTGCTCTCCTCATCCGTGTATTTCAGTAGATCTGCCTGGTCTGCTCCCCAACTCTATCTCTGGTGAATCCTCTTGCCTCCCCCATACCTCTGGCCTACACCCCAGTTCTTGTTGCATAAGTAAATAAATCCTTTTTTTAACAAGTAACCTAGAAGGAAACAATTGAAGTCCAGAATGTTGTCGTTGTACTAGTAGTGGTGGTGGTAGTAGTAGTAGTAGTAGTAGTAGTAGTAGTAGTAGTAGTAGTAGTAGTAGTAGATGACAGAGCTTACTAGTTGAGCAACAAAATTTGGAGGAAAGGGGAGTGGAGATGAAGGGATTATTTGATAGTACAATAGCTGCTTCCTAAAATACTGCATTTAAGAAGTGATGAGTATATGGAAAGATCAGTAGAAAGTAAGGATGCCCCCTGCTTGCTTTGTCTCTACTTGTTTTTATGTTTGTTGTCTATTATCTTTTCAAATAGCCGCTGCTTAGCAAATCTAAGACCCCTCTTAGATTCTGGAACAATGGGCACTAAAGGACACACTGAAGTTATTGTACCTCATTTAACTGAATCTTACAATAGTCATGTAAGTGAGTGTTTTTTAAAGTAAATGCCTTGTTTATAGTTCATAACTTTTTATAGTCATCAACAGATTTGATTTAGCTTCTCTAATCTTTGTGTTTTTTTGATCTGCCAAAAATGTAAATGAGTATTTGCATGTATATATATTTTTTTAAATATAGTTGAATTTCTACTTTTAATCATACTTTGTTCTTGATCTTTCAGGAGCCTTATTCTTATATTACTATTTTAGTTCTCAGAGCTGCTTAGTTTTCTGATAGTCTTTTAACTGTTGTTACACCCAGGATCCTACTAAAAAATCTGTTTCTCTCTTAGGATCAAGGTATCAATGTGCAATATTTTAAATAAACAATATAAAAGATAGTTTTGCAATAGTACCATAGTTTAAAATCACAGACATAGAAAATAATTATATGCTTTAGAATTTAAAAATATCAATCCAGTTTGTAAAATTGAGAGAATTTTTTTTTTACAAACTTTAAGTATCCCTTTATTTAATGGGTTGATTTGGTTTTGTTTTCATAAAGTTCTTTTTCCATGTATCTTCATGAAATGAGAAGTTTATATGGTAAAAGCATTATAATAGATAAAGTTGATCAATTTAATTTGACAAAAATTAGATGGAGAATATGGTATTCTGTGGTCATAATGGAAGATTTTCAAAGTGGGGAATGTTACATAATTCTCTAATTTCCTTTGAATCTCTCATTGTATTCTTTTCCAAGCTTTTTATATTTTTTGACATCATACTCATAAAAAACAGAGTCTAATACTCTCCTAGCTTCTTTCTTTGACTGATACCGTAATTTGTGATATTTTTTAGATAAAAAACTATAAATATCCAAGTAAAGAGATAAAGTGAGTCATTTTAGAGTGAGTAACCAATAAGCCTAGGCTAAAATGCCCAATAATAGAAAGTGGGTTTTTCTGTAGTTCTTTGCATATGACAATATAGGTATTTATTTAATAATTTCACGTACACTTTCTTGGAGTAATTGTAAGGACATATGCTTCATGTGCCTTCTCTTCATGAAGAAAGTAATTCATGATTTGCTAAACACTGGGGATTCTTGATTTGCTTTTCAAATAAGGAGTGTTGCAAAGTTTGAGCATCACCTTGATTTCTGAAAGAAAATAATATGGTAGTATGACATTTATTAAATAACTACACAGATAGTAAGTGCTTATAGAATTTATGTTTGTCACTAGACTGCTGTTAAAAAAAATACTGATTCGCTTAAAATCATATTTTATAATTTAGCGGGATCCCCCAGAAGAGGAAATACCATTTTGTACACTGAAATCCTTTCCAGCTGCTATTGAACATACCATACAATGGGCAAGAGATAAGGTAATGAAGATCTATTTACAAAAAATTTTTCTTTGAAATAGAAAAGATGGTATTTTCAGCTTTCAGACAAACCTGTTTGAAACTTTTCCTACTTTTTCTCTTACAGTTTGAAAGTTCCTTTTCCTACAAGCCTTCACTGTTTAACAAATTTTGGCAAACCTATTCATCAGCAGAAGAAGTACTACAGGTAAAAACCAATAAATTATACAGATTTAATATTTGTGTCAGTATAAATCTTTAAGTTTTGTACATGTAGTTTAGTTCTTAAAAAGAGATTATGTTAAAAAAAAAGAGAGAGATTATGTTGTCAGTGTATGTATTAATAAGGGCATGTGGAATCTGGAAACTAGCATCATAAGTGACCCCTCTTTTTTTAGTTTTGTTGAATTTTTTGGAATTTCCAATATTTGACCATGTATGAACCACAAACTAATCAAAATGTATAATAATGATAGGAAAGCAGTACATCATGAAACAGCTCATTTAGCTCTTTGGGAAAAGGCCAAGGTAAATTTCTTGAGTGGACAGTACTCTCAGACTTATTACTCTCAGGGTTAGGACAACTTCAAAATTATTTTCTTTAATCCTTTTAATACTAAAAACCCCAAATTTTTAATATAAAACATTTGTATCATATGTACATGTAGTTCTAGTAATTATAGCTTCCGATACCATGTTCATATACAGTCTTAATAACTTAAAGCTAGAAAAACATGGGGTTAGATAATAAATGTTAAAATAATAAATGTTAAAATTAACATCTGTGGTATATAAGAAAAATGTAAAAACAGGTAAAACTAAACCAGAGCAAACTCTATAGAGATATGACTATAGAGTTGAGGCTGCCAGAGTAAGATTAGGGGATGGGAAGCAAAAGGTAGAGCATCCTATTGTGGAGAATTATTGGTGCCTTGGTAATGGTGCATGCATGACATATATCTGAAGAGCTGTGAACCTATACCCCTACTTAGAGTATTATAATCCAACATTACCTTGACAAAAATAGTTCAGTGTAAAAAAGGTCCTTTTTCTCAGTATTCGTCAATCAATGAATAATATGAGCACTTCTAATTGAAAATTAATTAAAAGTAATATTTAAAAGTAATTTTAGAATTAAGATTTTGTGCATTTTTTTCCCCCATTTCCCTCATGAAAAGAAAAGAAAAAGGAATATGAAAAGGGACTTGGAGCTCAAGATGAAACAAAATTATAAAATACCTGCTGGAATTTCAAACATTGACTTACACTTGTTCTGTGTTTAATTGGAAAATGTGTTTGTTTTATTTTGGTTTTTTTCCCTCTTATTCTAGAAAATGCAAACTGGACACAGTTTAGAAGGTTGTTTTCAAGTTATTAAGTTACTTAGCAGAAGACCTAGAAATTGGTCCCAGTGTGTAGAATTAGCAAGATTAAAGTTTGAGAAATACTTTAACCATAAGGTGAGTATGTATTCACCATAAGGTGACTAAAGGTCTGACCTTGGTTCATTTAGTTATTGCCAAGTTAATTTTATTGATCTGAAGTGTCTGCTCGCTCTTTTTGGAATGTTTTTAGATCAACTGAGAACAAGTGTAGGACACATTTTATTTCTCTTTGAATGTGACTGGGTAAATAACGCATTTATATTACATCCATTGACTTGTCAGTTTTGCATTTAACTAATCTGTACTTTATGTGCAAAACCAGGTTTAGCCAGGGGCTCCGTCTAGAGAGTAAGGAATAGATTTCATCAGTGTTCTAAAAGAAGTTTGTTGTTGAGAGCAAAGCAAGAGACTTAGAAAGTAGATACTCAAAATTTTTTTTGGAATTTTGCCTTTTCCACTCATATTTAATAAGACCATTTTGTGTCTGTTTTCTTCATCTGTAAAATGATAATAAATGGTATTTAAGTCATAGGTTTATGTGAGGATAAAATGAGTTAATGCATATAAAACATTTAGAATAGAACTCACCCATAAGTGCTTAGTAAGTACTAGCTGTTACTCTTATCTCCTTCTATTTATTATTTCTAGAGTGTGTCTTGCACTCTCACTATTTTTAGTCTCTCTCACTCTATCCAAATATAAAGGAAGTTCATCTTTTTAAAAAAGTCTTTTGATTATACTTTACTTGGAATTTTCACTTCCATCTTGGCTCTGCTTTTTAGATAAATGGTCTATATTACGGTTTGTACTTCTACTTCTTTATCTACTATGTGTCTTCTTTCCCCTTACCTTCAAATTATTATGACCACAATTATCAGTGACCTCTTGTTTCAAAGTCTAAAGAACTCTTCAGTACTTGTCTTCTGTAGGTTTTTGAACTTTTTTTGTTCAACCAAGGAAATAGAGAGAACATAGTATATAGTGAACTCCATGTAACCCTGTACTTGTCATCCAAATTGAACAACCATCAACTCCTAGGCAATTTTGTTTCATCATAGTCAGGCCAAATATATCTTTCCCCAGTTGATTTTAAATCAGTCTCACATGTTACCATTTCTGAGTCAAAATAATAATGTGTTTTTGCCATTTTCATTTTTATTTTAAGGGTTAAATCTTTTAAAGGAGCAAAATAATATGTAAAAAGATGCTGCCATTTCTATCTAAAGGGACAAAGTAATGTATATGTGTTTGTAGTTGATGCTAAAATAACAAAAAAACTTCCAATTGTTTATAAAATATAATAGACAAAAAGGTTTTTCCAGGCATGAGGAGCAATGTTAGGAGAATGGGTAGATGGAATACAAAAGTGACTTGAAGACGTCACTGTATCTTTTTATCTATCTAATTCTTTAACTCAGGTGGGTAATTTTTTTTTTTTTTTCTTTAGGCACTTCAGCTTCTTCACTGTTTCCCTTTGAACACACGATTAAAAGATGGTAGTAAGTATAGCAAATTTTGAAAAGAAACTTAATGAATTGCTTATCAGTTGCTTACATTGAAAATAATATTTATATTGTTTATTAGGTTTATTTTGGCAGTCACCAAAGAGGCCACCCTCTCCAATAAAATTTGATTTAAATGAACCTTTGTAAGTATTTATATTCAGTTTTATGTGCATAGTCTGCCTAACAAAGATATCCACACTCTTCTCCCTAGTCTATTTATGTACTTGGTTAAAAATTACCTCATTGTTTTTATCTCTAAAGTAAAACCAAACTTCCCACTTCTGTGACTTCATCCATAAAAAAGTAGTAAACTGACAACAGATGTTTTTATTTAGAGAAGCCAATATATATGAAATTTTAGTTATATGGGCGAGGAGCAATAATTGCTACTAAATATCTCCATAAATAACCTCAAATTAATCTTCAAGGATTTGATCTTTATTAAATAACTATACACTTACCCATATTTGATATATGTGTGCCCACACACAACCCTTTATCTATTTTTTGTAATTATGTTTATTGAGGTAAAGATGGTTTATTACATCATTGCATCTGCTTTAGGTGTTTTAGGACGAAAACTACAAATGTGTACTTTCATAACTTTCCCACCATCAGTGCTCCAAAATCCTCTACCATGTCCAATTGGCCTGCCATCATTCTCCACACCCATCTCACCATTCCCCCCTTTCTGGTTGCCTCCCTTTTGCAGTAGTTGTCAATAGTTCTTACTGGCTTAATTTTGACTGATCCTTTGTTATGTTTCTCTATATTCCTCATACAAGTGACACCATCTGGTATTTCTTCCTTTGAACTTAGTACATTTAGCATTATCCTCTCCTGTTCTATCTTTGTATAGAAAATAACAATAATTTATCCTTTTTCATAGCGGAGTATATTCCAATTTGTTTATATATCACATTGTTCTGATCTACGCCTCTTGGGTACTTAAGCTGTTTCCATAACAGCTATTTTAAATAGAACTGCAATGACGAGGGAGTATGTAGACATCCCTTTGAATTAGTGGTTATGTTTTCTCCAGATAAATACCTTGGAGTGCAATTGCTGGATCATATGATAGGTCTATTTTTAATGCTTTGAGAAACCTCCATACTGTTTTCCATAGATACTGGGTAGAACATTTCTAGAGGGAGAGGGTTTCTTCCCCACATCCTTGCCAACACTTGTTTTTTGGCGTCTTTGATGTGGACCATTCTCACAGCTGAGATGATGTCTCATGTTTTTGATTTGCCTTTCCCTGATGATAAGTGATAATGAGCATTTTTTCATGAGCCTATGGCCCATCTGTATACCTTCTTTGGAGAAGTAATTCCATTTGTTTGTCTTTGATTTTGCTTTTCTTGTCACTGGAAATGAATACCAAGAAACATTTCTGAACCCAGTGCCCTTTTCAATATACTTTATATTTTTGACTTTTATGTGATCCAGTTTAAGTTAATTTTTGTGTAAGGAATGTGATCTAGTTTCATTCTTTTCCATGTGACATTCATTTTCCCTTCTGCCTTCATTTTTCATTTCTTCAAATTTCTTTATCATGGTAATTTCTAACTTAATCTCATAAGAACAAAAGATTTTCCATCTTTGTGGTTAGGTTCTTGATAGTTGTTTCCTCCTTGTGGTGACATGTTCCCTTTGGGTCTCAAGTTACTATATCTTTTCATCTGTCCATTTTGCTGTTACTAGATCTTCTCTGAGTTTCTGTACTGTCCATCAGCTGCAAAATGGAAACTTCAAGGGAAGCCTTAAGAGAGCACATTGTAGGGAAGTCTCATACCACACCTGACACCTCACCTTGCCCACCAACAAGCAGGAAGCCTTTCATTCATAGGTTCTAGTCCCTGTGGTTACCTGCAGACTACATACTCTGCACACAGTCCAGAGGTTCCAGAGCAGGGAGGGATGTCCACACTCTCTCCAAAGCCTACAGTCCAGAATCCCATGCCGAGAAGTCTCTGGGCTTGATGTGACTCGCAGTGCTGTACATCCCCTATACTGGGGCTAAACAGGCACACCTGCTTCCAATTTCTTTGTGAACATAGACCAAAGGTCTTGTGTAAACAGGACAGAGCAGTGGGCATGTTCCAGACTCTGAAAAGCCAGCATCTAGAAGGCCCCTGCTAAAAGTCTATGTGTGTGATATGCTTTCTCTTACACTAGAGCTAAACATTGATTTTTGCTTGCAGTTTGTTTTATAAGTAGAGAACAAAGGTAATGTGTGAATAGGATGGGGAGTGAATGGCATGCCCACAGTCTCTGGGAAACCAGCAGGCCCGAAGCCCCCTAACCATAAATCTGTGTGTGTGATATCTGCCTTAGTGGCCCTGAACAAGCCACTGGAGCAAACCAAGTTAGCATTAGCATCCTGTGGCCTCCCCTTAAGTACAACTGTGGAGGTGTGTGGGCCTGGGAAAGGGGTAGGTGCTCTCCTCAACTCTCCAGAGCACCCACAGACATTTTTGGGAACATAAAGACCAAGCCAGGGTTGATCATGTGACTCTACTGAACCCAGACTCTTGTCATCTAGGTGACTTTTGTTGAACTATCAGACTGTGCTGTCACTCAGAATCATGCACTCGCCTTACCAGATAGGTGAGAGAGCATGGAGGACTGTTGGGAAGAACAACTGATAGTTCTCCTAGTGAATTGTCACTGTTCTGACTTACCACTTCTGTCTGTCTCTGTCCAGTGATTTCTGGCTTTCTTTGCTGAAACAGTGATCCTCACTTCCCTAGCTCTGTTCTAGATGTGACTGCTCCCTCCAGGCACTTATCATAGATATTCCTGAAGCAAGTGGCTTAGACCAAAATTTAAAGATCCTGGCTGTCAGCCATCTTCTCCCCTCTCCCTTATATGTATATACTTTAATTAAATAGCTATTAACCTTTCTTTGAACAAATAACTGATTAAGTTTCTCCTGTAATGCTTTGTTTAGAATCCAGTCATCTTATTCTGTCTACTTATATAGCAGGCTTTATTCCCAAACTCATTTGCATAGTTTATACTAGATACTCTTCAAAACCAAATTTGTAATATTTTATCAACCAAATTTTTAATATTTTATCACAAGTCGAAATGAATCTTTCAATTTCAGTGATTTTTCCTTTGTTTAATTATTGTATTTTTTGCCATTCGTTTTCCTTAAGTATTTATCCATTGAATATTTGTGTTTAAAAGGATAAACATTTGATGTTTCCTCTTTTTTATAGTTCCTGTAATGCTCTGTGCTTGACCAGAATTTCATTGCCTAACTTTTAAAAAAGAACAATTCTATAACAAAAGTAATATTATTTTCATCAAACAGCATTTTAAAAGCTATGCTTTCTGGTGACTTAAACATCTTTGAAATTGTGCATTCACAATTTTTTTTTCTTAATTTCAAAAGGCACCTCAGTTTCCTTCAGAATGCTGCTAAATTATATGCTACAGTCTACTGCATTTCATTTACAGCAGAGGTAAGCTATTTGTCAAAACTAAGCTAAACCAACCTAGAATGAGATAATTTGCATCATCGAAATGTGTCTAAATCTTGTTAAGAATTGTTCTTTGATTTAGTTTTTATTTTCTTGCATTGTTGCCCATTCTGACTTAGCAGAAGCCAAAAATTCAGTGCAGCCTACAAAGTCGAAGAAAGTCAAATTTTCATCTCTACATTTTAGTGAAACAAATATTCATAAAAACAGTTATATTTCATTTTTAAAACATTCATAACCTATAATGTCTATATTTAGACATTCATAACCTATACATTCATAACCTATAATGACTATTATTATATTAGTCTTACTATTCCTTTTAACAGCAATTTATAAATATTCCTTACAGATTCCCACTGACTTAGTGCATTTGTTTGATTTATTTTGTGATAGCAACATGTGCTTTTCAGGAAATTTGAAATGTGTATGATCACATCCTTTCTTATATATGATTTTGATTGACTAACATAAAAATCCAACATAGTTTTAATTGAGAGATGTTTCTACATTAATGCATTTTTCTTCACAAATACATACCAGAGCTAAATAAATTTATATACTTTCAGGTAGGATCAGTGGAAAATTTGAGCTACATCCATTGTTTTTCTTGGCCAGATAAAAATGCCTGGTCTAGGTAACACTTTTCTGGAGTTAAAAATAGTAAAATACACCATAAATAATCTGGTAAAAAATACTTGTATTCTGTTTGTTAGCCTTTTTTATGTAGACTGTTAATTTTTTGATGAAACAACAGAGGTACCCTCAAAAGCAGTGTGCCTTAATTTTTCCTAAACAGTTTCTTAATAATGATAATAATAATTTTTCCTAAACATTTTCTTAATAAACATCACTTAATTGTAATTTAAATTGTTAAATATTTTCCTGTTTCTCAGAGTCTGATTTATATTCACTTACTTAATTTGAGTCAGTATCTACTAAGTTAAACTTTGTGCAGGGAACTATATAAAGCAGTGACAGGATAGTTCCTAATCTTAAAACACTTAATCTGATAATCAAGTCTTCAACTACATTTTTTAAAATTTGTAGAAAGAACTAGAGGTTCAGGTTTGTTGACTCAGTACTTTTTCACAAACAGCAATCCACCTTCAGCCTTTATGGATATTTCTATAGCAATAAAGGTAAATGTCACAGACCAGCATGGTTTAGATATTCAGTAATAAACTGTTTGGTATCTTAATATGATAACAAATAACTGTTTTTAGCTCTAGATTCAGAATTTTAAAATGTTTTATAAAATTACTTTTTGGAAAAACAGGACTTATCAACAGATGCTCTCATGAATATTCTTTCCGAAGTAAAGATTCAGGAATTTAAGCCTTCCAACAAGGTATGTTTAGAAATTTATTCCTTTAGCAAGTATTTGTTTAACTTTTACTGGTATCAAGTTCTGTTCTAAACCAAGACAATCTTATAATAAACAAAACTAAAAGGGTTATAAATTTTGCCATGCCAACATGATGGAAGAAGAAATATTAGGGACTATTAATAAAGATAAAACATAAAATTTAGGGTAAATAGGAAAGTTTGAAAATACTAAGTAGTTTTTCATTCTTATATGTTAATTGTTGTATGCTTTTTGTATGCATCTAAAAATCATCCATAAAACCCCTTTTGTTGCCCTTACCCTTTATCTGGCATGGGATCTTTGGAGTAAGGAAATTCAAGAAAGAAGTGTTATGTGCAGCCTTCTACTGTGCATTTTTATTTTAGAGAAAAAGACAACTTAAAAGCGGTTGAGTTTGTACAAACTAATGGGCTTACTGAGTGAAATGTTCATTATCTGTAACATATTAAAAATGAAAAGTACAGAAAGAATAACATAAAGTTCTTAGCCATGTTTCTAGTGAGTGAAGCTGCTAGAAAGATGGCAAGGAAATGTGTCATGAACATTTCTGCTCTTGAATGCTCTTCAGTGTTATCTCACCTGAATTGGCTTTGTTCTGTATCAGAGATTGAGAGTAATAAATTATGCTAAGCAGTTTAGCTATAGTTTTCATGTAGATTATATTCTTTTTGACAACTCCCTGTAGCAACTCAAACTGAACCTTCAGGATCAACTCTTCTAGTTAACAGATACCATACCAAAAACATTCTGGTAAAAAAAGTATCTGCTTCCTGAACTCCTTAATATGTCTTAAATACTTAAAATAAAATACTCTATAACACATGAGATGGATTTTTGTAATAAGAAATAGTATTTTATTAATTGTGAGTTAGCCAGCTTTTTTTTTTAAAAAGTTTATTTTTACATCATTTTTCACATTTTTTTTTCATCTCAATAGCCAGCTTTTTAGTTAGAGAAATTTTTAACTTCACTGCCCTTCATTGCCCATTAAGTAATTTCTTAAAGATCAATTAACTTGTATGTGCTGCCCTAAAGCTTATATTTAAAGTATGTCTATATTGCGGTGTAGGTGGATTTCTTTCTGTGGAGGTAGATATATAACAGCCTCAAACTATAGCTTTATAATTTGGTTTTGAACTTGATTTTTTCCAAAATTCCAAATTATTGATTGTTGTTAACATTTTTGTGTGAAGTTTTATGAGAGCTATTTAAATTCTGATCTCATAAGCTATTCAGTAAATGTTAACATCTGCTGTGATCAAATTTGCTTTAGAGAGACCTCTCCGTGAACAAGATACTAAACTCAGAATTTTCTTGTCAGCATGAGGTGGTAGATAGTTTCAACCAGACTTTGATACAAAATGTGGTAACTAATGAATACATGTAAATGTTTTTAAAAGGTTGTTCAAACAGATGAAACTGCAAGGAAACCTGACCATGTTCCTATTAGCAGTGAAGATGAGAGAAATGCTATTTTTCAACTAGAAAAAGCTATTTCATCCAACAGAACTACCACAAGTAAGGGAAATCTATATTCAAATGTTTATGAACTGAAGGGATTTTTGTTTTCACTTGAGTTCTGTACCCAAAAGCTTGGGGGTTAAATAACAATAACAGTATAGTTGATTTCATGATCATATAAAATCACTGTCCTATTTCAATATGACTAAGATTTTAATTTTCTCCTCTTTTGCCCTATCCTCAAATTTGCAGTATATCAGGAGAGGTCTGCCGCGCCATGTGGATCTCCTCCGGGGCAGGCGGGAATCGAACTCATGCTGAAGTGGCTTAAGCTTGTTCCCATTGTTTAGTCCTTGAGATTTATATTTTGATTCCTGTTTAAGTTAGGGTGACATGTTAGTCCTAATTATGTTAAGATTTAAGAACTATAGACATATTTCTTCTAGACTTCTTAGTCTCCATAATTACAGACTAGGAATATTTATTGCGCAACAGACATCTTTGCCCTACATGGCCTTAAAATTAGGGAAAGTGAGTTTTTATCCATTAACTCTTGGTTTTAGACCTGCTCACCATCTCTTTAACACTATGAAAATGAAGAGTTTCCAAACTGGCAGTTTCACGTACAATACAGTAGAATACCCAATTGGGCAAATAAATTTGACTAATTATTTTAGTTATTTTTAAAATGGTACATTTATTTCATCACAGGTATAACTGAATTTGACGGTAAGATGATTTTGAGAACCACTAATCTAGATATCTTTCAAAAGGATGCTTTTGGGGGCTCAGCTGACTGTATTTTTAAGTACAGGCTAATGTTGCAGAGTAATATTTTTGGAATTAGTTTTTTAACAGTACTCATGTTGACATTTTTATTGTAAGCCACTTAATAGGTATGATTATAGCTTTCTCACTGTTCTATATTTTAGAACGATTCTTTAATATAGAAAATTCTCATTTAGTAATATTAAACCAGTTATTTTCATGTCTTTCAATAACTGTGGTCCTGGATTTTTCTTGTGTTTTTCAGTCATTTAGAAACAAGCAAGTGAAAACCTAATGTATTTTTTTAATATAAATTATTGTAAAGGCATGTTCTCAACTTTACCCTTTGAATTTCTTATCTGAATTGTTAAATTATTGATCTCATTTATAAGCACTAAATTCTGTAATCTTTCATTTTATGTTTTTTCACTCATTTGTGTTTCTTACTATGAATTATAAAAATACACCATGGGGGCTCTCCCTGGTGGTACAACAGGTTAAAGCACTACATTATGAAGCTCTCCAAAGCCACTGCAGTATGAGTTCAATCCCCGGCCAGGGAACTGACTATGTGGCATGGCAGACCTCTCCTGACCTGCCTACTGCTCTCCTCAGCAGTGCGCTTTGTCAGTCTGCCTGTTCTGCTCCCTACTCTGTCTCTGGTAAATTGTCTTACCTCCCCTGCACCTCTGGCTTTGTACCCAAGTTCTTTATGCATAAATAAATAAAATCATTTTTAAAAAAATACACCATGGAGTGGAGAGTTTCCCTGGGGTGCCAGGGTTAAGTCTTAATGCTGTCAAGCTATCATTGCCAGCCACTGCAGCGTAAGTTTAATCCCAAACCAGGTTGCTGACCCACATCGTACAACAGACCTCTTCTGTCTCACCTACTGCACCCCTCAGCAGTGTATTTTAGTGGATTCATTTGTTCTGCTCCCCACCCTGTCTGTGGTGGAATTTACTCACCCCTCATCCCCCCCAAAACCCCCCCCACACACACACCTGGCTTATACCCCAGTTCTTGTGTTTATAAATAAATAAGATAAATCTTTTTAAAAAATAAAAATGGGGCCCTCCCTGGTGGCACAACAGGTTAAAGCACAGCACTATGAAGTTATTCCAAGCCACTGCAACACGAGTTCAATTACCAGCCAAGGAGGTGACCCACATGGTGTGGCAGACCTCTCCTGACCCACCTGCTGCTCCCCTCAGCAATGTATTTTAGTACATCTGTTATGCTCCCCACTCTGCCTCTGGTGATTCCACTCACCCTCCCATATCTCTGGCCTATGTCCCGGTTTTTGTATGCATAAATAAATAAATAAATCTCTTAAAAAAAGAAATTAAAAACGAAAATGTACCTTATGATCTTTTATCCGAATAAGTACTTTAAAAAAACAGAAATAGAGCCCTCCCTGGTTGCACAATGGGTTAGGATGCAGCACTGCAAGCTAGCCATAGCCACTTCAGTGTGATTTCAATCCTGGGCCCCGGAGATGATCAACATGGCTTAGCAGACATCTCCTGTCTCACCTGATGCTCCCCTCAGCATTGTACTTCATTGATTTGCCTGTTCTACTCCCCTCTCACCGCCCCTGCGCCTCTGGCCTGTATCCCAGTTCTGTATGCATAAATAAATAAATCTTTTAAAAAACTGACAAATTAATAAAAGCATAATGGAATATTTTAGTGATGAACTCACATCGCTTTTTACCTCATCAAATCTTTACCACTTACTTGGATAATTTGTTTTCTGCGTATTATGATAGGTGATCTTCAGATGGCGGTACTCTCATTTGAAAAAGATGATGATCGTAATGGACACATAGATTTCATTACAGCTGCATCAAATCTTCGTGCTAAAATGTATAGTATTGAACCAGCTGATCGTTTCAAAACTAAGCGCATAGCTGGCAAAATTATACCTGCAATAGCAACATCCACTGCTGCAGTTTCTGGCTTGGTGAGTTTATTATTCTTTCAGTTTAAATGGATCTGTTTCACTGCCTCTTTCCTTATGGCAGCACACTCAGCTGTCTCTCAGTATCTTAGAAAAGGAGTACATGCAATCTTATAATTTAATATTTCAAGATATTTCTGAAAATACAATAATCAACGTTTTGAGCTTATACAGATATACATTTTTACAAAAAAAGGCTCTGTTCAGATAGATTATAATTTTTCTTACAGGCAATAATTTTATTAATTTTTGTGGCCTCCACATAAAGTTACCCTTTTTTCTTGAATAAAATGAACTGCCTTAATCTTTTTTTCTATGGTTTTATTAATTTTAGTTTTCTACCTAAAAAAAAAGAAATTCCTATTAGTGATTTAGGCCATCTTTCTTTAATGTTTCAGAATCTTTAAATTGGCTATTCTTAGTTTATCCTTATATAGAAACTATATAATTGCCTGTCCCTATATCATTTTATTTTGGACACTTATGTTGAGTTCTGGCGTCTACTTTTAAAGTGGGTGAATATATTTTTAAATGAGTTCACTTACCATGTGTAGTATACTTTGAAAATATGAAATATGCTAAAAGTTGAGAGACTTCAATTCTATAACCACTTTTACTCTTTAGAGAGAAATGTTTGTAAAGAACCTAGGAAGATTAAATAGACATCGTTAAAGTCATGAGTACTTTTGGACTATATTACCTGCTCACCTTCTTTTACTTAGGTTGCATTGGAGATGATCAAAATAGCTGGTGGCTATCCATTTGAAGCTTACAGAAATTGCTTCCTTAACTTAGCCATTCCAATTATAGTTTTCACAGAGACATCTGAAGTGAGAAAAACTGAAATCAGGTATGCATGAAGGTCTGTTTTCTCTTGCATAATGAGAATCAACTAAATGTTTATTTTTTAAAAGAGATAAAATTAGCTTCATCTCTCTGTTTAATACTTGTCATTACTTCAACTCCAGTTCAAAGCTCTTATCTTCATGAAACATTTCTGACTGAAATAGCCATAGGACATTCACGTTTACTGTGCCACAATATTTAGCATTGTGTATTAGGGTTTTGCCTACTTGTACCTAAAGCAGACACTTTAGTTCTAACTGATGGAACATGAGATAGAAATCTAGTTCCCAAAGCAATATAGCTAAACAGCAGTTTCTTGGACCTCCACTTTTTAGTTTTCTGATTGACAGGAATCAAAAATTTGAAAACACCTATCTTAACAAGAGTCGGAAAGTACTCTCATACATTACTGATGAAGTAAAAATGCCATAGCTCATAATGAGGCAAATACAGCATTATATTTCAAATTTGCATCTACATTAGTACTCATCTCAAATGATATGTGTATGACATATTTTATTTGGACATCATTTATCATAGCTAAAAATTGTAACACCCAGATTTCCAGAGATATATAACTAGAATATCCACACAGTTAAGTGACATCATTGCAGTATTGAGAGAGAGAAAACTCTAAGACAACAGTGATTTATAATGAAACACTGGAAGTATCAAGAGGTATTAGTAAGAAGTGGTTACCCGTGTGGTGTGGCGAGAACAAAGGACTATTGAATGTTTTAGAAGTTATGTGTTTCTTTTTTTTCCTCACATTAATTTCTAGCTGTAACACAGATAATGGAATTCTGGAGCTATTACTAAAGGGAAGAAAATTAAAATGTTTTCTGAATATTTTTCTACCACAGAAATGGAATATCATTTACTATTTGGGATAGATGGATTATACATGGAAAAGAAGATTTTACCCTTTTGGATTTCATAAATGCAGTCAAAGTAAGACTTTTATTCACTTAGTTCATAAATAATTTTGATCTCATTAGTTTTTATACATAGCTTCATTAGAGAGATATATATATAATATGTACATATATATACACACACACATATATTTTTTGTTTTTTACTTAAGAGGTATTTCTTTCTTTTTGCTGGTCATAAAGTATTTTTTGCTTTTGGACTGGACTTTGACTGTTTTTTGGATATTTACTTGTAGGAAAAGTATGGAATTGAACCTACAATGGTGGTACAAGGAGTCAAAATGCTTTACGTTCCTGTGATGCCTGGACATGCAAAAAGATTGAAGTTAACGTAAGTATTGAAAATATATGCAAAAGTTTTGTAAGGATTGAAACTTAAAACTGCATGCTCATTGGAAAATTCAATATAGAGGTTACAGAGGTCCTGATAAATGCATGTTATTCATTCTTGTCTGGCATAATAATAATTACAGTGAATCTACCAAGCTCAAGTTACCTCTCTAGAAAGATTCATAAATCACAGTACCCTGTGGGGTTATGTTGTAGTCAGATTCAGCTTTCCAGCTTAGTAAACTGATATGATCAGTATACACCAAGTAAAAGTAAGCCCTCCTCGGAGGTGGACATAATTATGAGGCTAACGAAACCGTAATATAAAACAAAATGCCAGATTGTTATTTTTATTCAAGGAACAGATTTTCTTTAAAAACACTTGCTTCTGTGTCAGATACTTTAAGAAGCTTTAGGGTTACAGCTCTTGCCCTACTTAAGGATTTTGCATAACAACTACACAAGTATGTCTGTGGGATCTTTTGAATAATTTAAGGTTGTATTCAGAACTCCTTTATTGTGTGCTAGATAGGTGAAAGAGGAATGTGTGACCTTGAATATATTGTTTAGTGGAATTTAAAATTTACTACAGATTATTCACAAAAATGTTTTACAGAGTTGGTCAGTATTTGAGCCCTTCAGCATGATATTTGTTAATATTTCTCTGTTGCACTCGTCTTTTGCAAACATTTATAGAGTTCTTATGATGTGCCCAGGAGAGGCTTGTCTTCAAAAAGCCTGTGTGCACACGCCTACTCAACTATTTACTTATTTTCTCACATTGACTAGTTTACTAAGCTTTTTTGAAACTTAGTTCTGTATTCACAAATATAAATAGGGATAATTAGGCCCATTGCTGTTGAGCACTAGAATAATAATAAGGACTAAGTAAAAAGCATTCCAAAACAGTCGGTATTTAACAAATTAATGTTAATATTATACATCTTTATCAAACATCCCTTTTCTTCATAGAGTTCAGTCTACTAAAAGATAGTAACCTGTTAATCTGTAATTAAACAACCATTACAAAATAAACAATCATTACATAAAGGTTTTTAGGAGTGTTATGGACACCACTAACTGTAATCTTCCACTTGGATATATAGATATCATTTGAGCTACCTTTGAAAAAGGTTTTAACAGGCAAAAGCAATAGTTGTCACATAAGCATGCAGCCAATAAAGACTAGGATTTCTTTGGAAAATCAAGTGTTTTTACATGAATTAAGGATAAAGTGATGAGAAGTAATAAAGAATGGAGAATAATATTATGGGGGAAATGTCATTGTAAAATGGGAACAGTTGTACTGACGACTAGATTGCATAGTTCAGAGCCTGGCATGAGATAGGTACATGATATATATGACATGACATTAGGCAGGAGAATAACATCAAATTTACATCCTTAGAGAATTTTGAAAGCAGAGCAGAGGAGGTAAAAAGACTGAAGACAGTTGACTGGTGGCTAATATAATAATATAAGGGATATTTAGGTGATGACTTGAGTGAAGAGAGTAGTATAGTAACTAACAAAAAAGTAAGTAGGATTAGTAGGGGAAGATAAAAAGAAAGTTTTTTTATAGTAATATTTCTAGGTTGCATTTGAAGATTTAAATCTACCTTTATAGAGAAATACTTGAATTTATGATGTGTTCAAACTTTATAAGGAGGATAGAAGAATTCATTTTTTGAAAACATTGCTTAAATTTTGGGGGTTTCCTTGAGGGTTTTTGTATATTCTATAGAGTTTTATAAAGTTTATATAAGTTTAATAAATTATCTGTATTTCTTATCATTACCAACTGTAGTGCATATTGGTTCACTATAAGGTAAATGAGTGTCTTGAGTTTAGAGCTTTTAGTAAAGAAAAGTGAAGATGTGAAATTAGGTTGGATTATTAAATTTTAAAATAATTTTAAAGTCTTCTTACAAGTCCAGATTCTCTTGAGTAGCATTAGTCAACAAATCTGTAATTTTTGCAGAATTTACCTAATTTTTTTACATTGTTTATTTTTCTTAGAATGCATAAACTTGTGAAACCTTCTTCTGAAAAGAAATATGTGGATCTTACTGTTTCATTTGCTCCAGACACTGATGGAGATGAAGATTTGCCTGGACCTCCAGTAAGATACTACTTTAGTCACGACACTGATTAACAGAATTTATCTGAAAGTTTCTCCGTGACTACTTGATTTTAGAAAGTCTGTATTTAATTCAGAAACTGAAAAAATCAATTCATAATACCATGGATTTCTTTGATGACGCCTTAATTTAAGGGACGTATGAGTAGAAAACTACTGTGAAGAGTAGTCAAACATTTTCATGCGTAGTATACACTTGACTAAGTGCTTCCTATGCAGATATGATCACAGGCAACTTTGAACTGGAATGTCATTTTATAATGCTTACAACTAATTTGTATATAAACTTTTCTGGGAGAAAAGAAGGAAAAAATATGTATACATACATAACCAGAAGAAATAAGAGATCAAGAAATTATCAAATACAACTATCCAAAAAGTTGAATCCTACCATATGAATTTCTTTCTTGTTTAGTATTCGTGCCCAGTTATCTATATAAATACTATTTGGCACCCTGCCTCACTCATGACTAGGCTTTGAATTTAATACCAGCAGAAAGGGGAGAGAGAGTAGCAGTGGGTGAAGAATAGATAGTTTGAATTATAGTTACAGTTTACTGTTCTGATATCTCTGTTAATTTAACCAGAATTTGTTGTATCACTGTCTCCTCAAAATCTAAATCTTTGTTGACATCAGTGTTGTAAGCCATAAGTAGTAGGTCAGATAGCATATGTTAACTCAGAGTATATGTTAACAGTATTATATGAATTCTGACTGCCTTCTTAGAGAACCCATGAATGTGAACAGATAAATGTGGCTAATCATTTGATTATTTTCAGTATGCTTTCTAATGTGGCTAGTTTATTTATTTGGAACTCTAAAACTGATTGTTATAAGACTAAAAGGTTTTATAAAGGGAGTGTCCTCAGTATATGAAAAGTAGAAATGAAAAATCACCACTAGTTAATTCTTGATTTTTTTTTTCTTCCCACAACTAAATGAACAGAAAAAAGATATTTTGTTCTAAAGGAAAATAAAACATACTGTTTTATTCTGCTTTCCCAGAAAGGGGGTTTATAAAAATCAAAATTTATTTTTTTAGATCTTTATCAATAGAAAATTTCTGTTTTCTGATATGAACTACTACAGATACATAAATGCTTTCATTAAAATGACAGTATATTCAACACTGTAAATAAGAGAAGCGTTTCTCTTATATCTAAGACAGTCATGCATTCTAAAGCAGTTGGCATTTTATAACCCAGGAAGTCATTTCCCTCTTCTCTCTGGTGCTGAGCACTAGTAAGCACTAAATGCTAAGTGTACATCAGTATTCCTCCAATTTGGTCTCTTTTTATACTGTAAACTTTATTTACAGGTAGTTTAAATTGTTTTTTCAACCAACTGTATTTTCGTTCTTTTGTATAATATACAGTTGGGAAAAATACATTTAAGCTTGGAAAGGTGTATTTGTATGATTAAAAGATAATTTGTGTATTTGGAGGTAAAGAGAAAGGGACAAAATAAGTTTAAAAGAAACAGCTAACTTTGACATAAGCAATTTTTGTTTGCCAGATCCTAAACTCTCCCATTATGCATATCACAAGTATAATCCTTAAAATTGAATCTAGGAATATCACATTCTGTCATTTGGGACTGTAGACACTAGAAATAATACAGTGACCTTGCTGTAATAAACCTTTTCCCCACTTTTACTTTGTTTTGTGTTCTATGACAGTAATTGCCGTTTTTCAGGCAGCCATTCAGTGATCCCCATCTATGGTCTAATAACTTCCTTATACGTGATCTAAATCTCCATATGTCTTTGGAAATAAATTTAGAACCATGCTGTCAGTTCTTACAGAGATCAAAGTCAACGAAATTTATGGGTTTTTTTTTTTTGTGATTAAACCTAAAACCATTTTGTCATTGCTTTTTTCCCCCTTGTTGATAACAGGTATTGTCATTAATTTCTCTAATTAGTTCTACTAAGCTGAAAAACCAGGGTGAGGTTAATGACAACTATTCTCATTATCTCTTGTTTTTTCTGTACCATGAAATCACTATTGGTGATTGATTATATCAAATGCAAGAACTGATTTTGTATGGTACCACTGAGTAATTTTTTACTTATTAAAAAATAAATTAAGAACTTTGACAATATCTTTTGTAAATCCTGTTCCTTAGTTAACTCCAGAGATCTGATTGTTGTATTCATTTTGTATGTTTACTGTGATGTTTCCTAACTTCTAAGTTTTGCAACTATGAAGGTATAGTATTCACTATGTGTGGACAGACATTGCTTTCAAAGTGCTTTTGGCTGCTGGAAATTCTACTGAAACAATTGGGAAATGGTGGTGACCATATGAAATCTAAGTCTGGTAAATTCTAGACTTTTGGGGGGATGTCCAAAGTCCATTCCATTTTAGACTTCAACGTAGTTATGTTAAGTTTTTCTAAATTAAGTTGCTAAAATATTACTTAGAAATAGTTGAGATTGTTTTGTAGCCTTGTCTTTATGTTTTGCCTGTTAATGCACTCTCTGGGGGAACTACTAACAAAGCATAAAAAAATGGCAGTAGTGTTTAGAGTTAGTTTTCTAATTAGTAAAATAAAGAGAAAAAAATGTGATTTCATGGGAAAATATCTTGACCTAATAATTTTTGGGTCTTTTGACCTAAAAATTCTCATCATCTTTTAAGTACTTTTAACAAATCCAAAAATGGAAACAGGAAATTGACATGTTGGTGTTTGTCATAAGTAATCAGTGGTTGATTTGTTTGTTTTGTTCTTAATATTCCCTTTTTTTAAAACTGAGTAACATACATTGAAAATATATATTAAAAGAAGCATATAAAATATTTTTTTAAGAAATTGCAGTTTGAGGAATGATTATAAGGTAACCACTTTTATAACTAGCTCTGAAGTCAATAGAACATTGACAGCATCCCAGAAATTTTCCTGTATCTTCTTAATTACAGCCAACTTACCCACACACAACCTCTGGCAATTACCACTGCTCCCATCTTTTATGAAACCTGTGTCTTTGGGTTTATTTATAACATTACACCTAAATATGTACCTAAACAATAAAGTATATTTTTGTTAACTTTTTAAAATCTTACATAAATGGAATAATACTGTATTGTTTTGTCACTGCTGCTTTTATTCAATATGTACTTCATCCTTGATGTATAAAGATATACTTTATTCATCTTCATTGCTGAATAATTTACCTTTTACATTAATATACCACATTTATTCATCTGATTGCTGTGGACAAATGGGATGTTTTCGTTGTGGAACAGTCACAGTTATGCAATGAACATTATTGCATGTGTCTCCCATCACAACTAATGTATAGACCTAATATAGAATTGCTTAGTCACACAGTACTACATCTTCAATCCTAACAATATAAGTTTTTCCTGAGTAATATAAATGTTCTGTATATCCTCCCAACACTGATATAAACAGATTTTATTTTAATTTTGCGACCTTGTAAATATGTAGTTGTATCTCGTTCATGTTTTATCCTGCATTTCCATAATTACTAGTGAAATTGATTACTTTTTCAAAAAGTCTTATTAACCACTGATTTTTTTATAACACATTCAGATCTTTTGTCACTTTTCTATTGTGGTAGAAATCCTTTTTTTCATTGATTCATAAAGTTCTTTTTAAGTCCTATTCTTTGGTAGCTAGAAAATAGCCATTATTTTCTCTCACTGTTACCTTGCTTTTTCCACTGTATATTGCTTTTCTTTTATTTTAAACAAAAATGTTAATAATTTGGTGCTGAAAAGTATTACTATTTTTGTTCTAAAGTAAGAATTTTTTGTGAATTGTTTTTCAAAAAGTATTCTACCCCAAGGTCATGAAGAGAACTCTCTATTGTCTGCTGCCAGTTCAGTTGTGCCTTTCACATGTGTGTTTTTAATTCATGAAGAATTAATTTTGTCTATGCTGGGAATTGCCTCACTGACATTAATTGAAGTCTTAGTGCCACAAGACATACACCTATTATGTATTTCTTTCTAAATTTTTGTTCCTTCTCTATCCCTATGCTACGTGTATAGTGTGTCTATCACTGTAACTGATAATTGTGTTTGATAATTGGCAGAACAAGACCTCTCACTCTATTAAAATCTTGGTTATTATTAGACCTTTGTATTTTCAGTTCTCAAATTTCTAATCACAGACATGTAAATTTATCAGTCTTGCAGATTTTACTTGTCTTGCTAACATTGTCATCTTTTATCTACCTGAACATGAAAACATTGCATTTAACAATTCCCAAATCTAAAATTCTCATTTAGTTGTTTTTTACTTTTATTTAATTAACTCTCTATTTTATCTTTTATCTTTGTGTATATGGTTAGCTAAATGCCAATATAACCAATGAAAAATTCACTATAGGAATAATAATTTGATGCTCAGCATGATGTTTTCATCCTCCACTGCTTTTTTTTTTTTTTCATGTTTTGTTAAGCGCTTTGGCATTAGTAATCTAGAGTCATTTTCACCCAATTTCAGGGACAGATTTTTCTGAATTTTACATGTAACTCAGAGTTGAGCTGTAGACTGTTTCTGTTAACTTTACTCAAGTAATCCTTCAAGGTCCAAAATGTGGATTGGAATTGCAGGGCTCACATATTAGCCACTATTAGACTCTTTTTTTGGATCCATAGTCCCTTAATTGTTCAGTTTCTCAATGACCTCTTCAAAATGCCATAAAACCCCCACCATACAAGTAGTCCCAAGTGAAAGATTCACCATTATAAATTTTCACTTTTTCCCACTTTTTAGCTTAATAATTATCCACTGTTAGCTCTGATAACATCCAACATTTTTTTAATAAATTTTTAAAAACCTGTCTAATACCCTCAAGTGAGAATGTTAGTCTAAAATATCTAGCCCAGTTTATTTCCTGTTGCTTATTTGTATAAAGTAATTTATTTCTGCGTCTGGAAACAAGTATAGATTCTTGTGAGTTTTTTGCAAATTATTCTTTATGCTATATAATGTTCAGATAAGGATGGATTTTAGTCTTTTCCAAGATCCAAATTTCGGTTTTCATGATCCCCTCTACTGCATGCTTGTTTGCTTTTTCACTAATTTTGCTCTTATCATTATTACTTGCTATTATTTTCTTTGGACTTTCCACATTCTTGTTCATAATTTCTTGCCATAGAGATATTTACCTCCTTTATTTTCAGCTTTTCAGATTATATGTGTAGAAGTCTAAATATATTATTAGTGCATCATTGTATTTGTTAATTACTAGTATAGTTTTATGGTAGTGTGATTAGTGTTATAACCATATTCTGTAATTTTTGATATGACCTTCATATTTTTTTTCATTAGTTTTTCTTTGAGTAGGTTTTTGAGTTGGTTTTTTGTTTCACAGAGTTTGAATTTAAGAGTTTTGCGGGTTTTTTTTTTTTAAGATTTGTTTATTTATGCATACAAAACTGGGGTACAGGCCAGAGGTGCTAGGTGTGAGAGGATTCCCCAGAGACAGAGTGGGAGCAGAACAGGAAGACTGATGAAGTACACTGCTGAGGGGGGCAGCAGGCAGGTCGGGAGAGGACTGCCACTTCATGTGGGTCATCTCCCTGGCCAGGGATCAAATTCTTGTTGCAGTGGCTGCTGATAGCTTCATAGAGCTGTGCTTTAACCCATTGCACCACCAAGGGAGGGCCCTTTGTGTTTTTTTAATAAAGATTTTATTTATGTATACAAGAACTGGGTGCAGGCCTGAGGTGCGCTTGTTGAGAGGATTCACCAGGAACAGAAATGGAAGCACATTAGTGGATCCAGCAAAATACACTGCCAAGGGGAGCAGAGGCAAGACAGGAGAGGTCTCCTATGCCATGTGGGCTAGCTCCCTAGCTGAGGGTCATGCCATAGTAGCCGGCAATAATTGGATAAAGCTGAGACTTGTACACAAGCCACCAGTGAGGCCCAAATTTAGGAGATTTTTAAATGCAATTCAACAATCATGTCTTCTAATTGGAGTGTTTAGGCCATTTACACTTAATATAATTACAGATGTACTGAGATTGATTTCTGCCACTTTATCGGTTTTTTGGATTTTGTTCTAGCCCTGTCCTATAATTCTATTTTTCTGTCTTTTAAAATTTATATTTTACTTATTTATTTATTCCTTTTATACCAATCATTAATTTGATCCTCTCAATTCCAGACACCCTGTTGTATTCTTGAATTATCTAAATTCTCACTTCACTTTTCCACTTTACCATCATCTTTCATCTTTTCTTTGAACTCAGACCATGGTGGTGTTCTGAGACTTAACCCCTATTCCACCAGGGGTAAATATAACTATTTGAAGACTCCCTTTAAATCCACTAATTCTAATGTTTAGAATAAAGGGATTTGAAATGCAGAGAATAAGTAATGTTCTTGATCACAGAGCAGGCAACCAGCTCAGTCACAAGACAATGGTAATCTGATTGCTTCTTTATGTACTGACATTTACATTAACAACCTTTTTCTATTTTATCTCTCCTCCTTAGTTTGACCCTTAATCAAGGTGTGCCTTGTAGTGGTGGCCTCAAGAGCATCTAAAACCCCAAAACTATTTCAAAGGAACAAGGAAAAGTGGATCCTAGGGTCAGAGAAATGTCTGGAGTGGGAAAGTTGGTTGAAATTCTGTTATTTTAACACTTTTACCCCAAAGGTAGCCACCCCCAGGGTCACAGAATTACATGGTAGCAGAGATGCTTACAACTAAGGTAGGCCCAATTTTCTACCTAGGAGGACCTTTGGTAAAAGGAGACTGGAGGTAAATTCTGAAAAGAGCATCCTTGTCAGTGAAATGATGTAAGTTTCAGGCTCATCCCCCAAGCTACATACATATGCATAGAACAGATATTGTAACAGGGTGGACCCGGAAAAAGGGGAGGTTCCAGGTTCCCTGCCTGACCCAGAAGGAGGATGGAGCTGAGCAGAGAAGAGAGGAATTTGGAGAGGAGTCTAAAGAGAAAGGAAGCAGGATGGAGAGTCAGAAGGTAACCTTAGGGAGGCACATGGAGCAGAAAAAGACGTGAAAAAGCCATGCTTGCTTCTTGGTTCTGAACTGGTTGTAACGTGGGTGAGAGACCTGTGGGGTGGTTCACTATGGCTGTGTTTATCTTGATTTTGATTTTGCTCTTTTCCTTCCAGACTTGTCTGGGGGGGACATCTGACCCTTTTCTATGGGTCCTGGTCAGAAGGTGATTTAGTCTTATGATAGGCTTTCAGGCCTTGCTTTGGGCCATTCCCTTTTGGACAGGGGAGAGGTAACTTAAGATGTTTGATGTAGAAATTATGTTCTTTGTCTCTTCTGTGTTGCATGTTAATTGCATTAAAGTTCCTTTCCATTAAAGGTCTTATGTTTTGTCTTGATGCTATGGATGGTAGAACCTATTCAGAGCAGGCAGGTTTGGGGGTTCAGGAGTGCCCCTATCTCCCTAAACTGTAACAATATAAAATAGATAGCAAACACTATGAGAACCATACCAGGATATAAACCACTAACTCCAGAATAAGGCATGATACAGAAACGCGTGAGGTTAGGGCCTCCCTGGTGGAGCAGGGTTAAGTCTCAGTACGAACACAATATGGCCTGAGTTCAATACCTTGAGTTTAATCCCCGCCTAGGGAGTTGACCCACATGGCACAGCAGACCTCTCCTGTCTCACCTTTTAGCAGGGCATCTCCGTAGATCATCCTATTCTGCTCCCCACTCTGTTTCTGATGAATCCTCCTACCATCCTCCCCCCAACCCCACACCTCTATAACTTTCTAGTTCTATGCGTAAATCTTTAGGGGGAAAAAAAATGCACGAAGCTTACTTAATGCAACATCATAAATGCTTTGAAGACTGAACTGCTATCAGAGCCACCTCATAAAATTAGGAAGAACTATTTCAGTCTAATCAGGATAGTTGTCTGATTTAAAAGTTTCAAAAGATTTTAATGTTTCATGTCACTATATTCAAACTACCCCAAGATTCAATCAAAATTACTGGAATACTAAAAATTCAAATTATCCAAACAAGGCAGATGAGGTTGGGGGAACATAGGAAATACAATTGATAGACAAAACAAAACACTAGACCTAACCCAACCAAATCAGAATAACACTAAGTGTAATTAAATTCACATTAAAATGAGGTAAAATACATGTTATATATAAGAAACCTATTTTAAATAGATTAAATATTAAGATAGCCCATGCAAATACTGTTTTTAAACTGGAGTGGCTTTATTAACATCAAAGTACACTTCAAAAAAAGTAAGATGATATAACAGTTAACCCACCAAGAACACATAACAATCTTAAAACTGTGTATGTCTTCTAGTGGACGGGCTTTAAGATGATCCACATAATTCCCATGTCCTGGTGTTGACACATTGTATAAATCCTGTATCTGTATCCCTGTATCTGAGGGTGAATCGGAACTGTAACATGCTCCTAACCAATAGAATAAAGTAAAGGTAAGGAATGCCAATACCCTGGGTATGTTACATAATGTGACAAAGATCATTCCCATGATTATGTTACACTATATAACTCCACCTTGCTAGTAGATTCTAGTTCTACTCCACTCACCTCTTTTGCCATTTTTGAAGAAGCCATTTGCTTGAGTCCTACAGCTGCAGTGAATTAACCCAACAATCTGTGGTTTGGAAGTGGATCTTTTCTCAGTCAAGTTTCAGATGACAATTTAGCTGAAACTTTCATTCCCTGCTCATACTGAAACTAAACGAGGCCAAGCCCAGACTCCCATTACATAAACATTAAAGTGAGTTTGCAACCACTAAATGTGTAGTGATCTGCTATGCAGCATAGATAACTAGTACAGCATAGATAACTAGTACACTAACAACAATTTCAAAGTACCTGAAGCAAAAACTGATCAAATGATAGACAAGCCCACATTTTTGGAGGATTCACCATTAACTAAGTTGAACTGCCACTATGAGACGCTCCTCCCAACAATATAACAGTACATTTTTTCATGTGAAATAGAACATTCAAAGACCATAATGTAAATTAAAGTAGTTAAACATTGTTTAGGGAAAAACAGTAAATGCATTGGAAAAGAAAAATGGTTTTAAACAGATTAAACCTTAAGTTAGGAAAAAAAAAAAAAAGCACAGAAAGCAGAAATGCAGAAATCAACTGAAAAAAATCAAATAGCTGAAATTAATAGCTGGTTCTTTGAAAAGCTCTATTGATAAATTAGTTGCTAAACTGACCAATAAATAAAACACAAATCATCAATACCGGGAATGAAAGAAGGAAGATCTCTATAGACTGTATGTCAATAAATTTGTAGACTGAAAACAATTCCTTGAAAAAAACAATACCAAGGTTAACACAAAAAATAGATGAATTGTCCTATATCTACATCATTAACGAAATTGAATTCATTGTTAGAAGCTTTGCACCAGAAAAAATCTTGAAGTCTGTTAAGCATTTAAGGAAGAAAAAAATTCCAATTTTCTACATGTTTTTCAAATATAAGGGAGTTCTTCCTAGCTCACATTTTGATAATGTCCCAAATTGAATAAAACAATTATTTTAAAAAATACATATCAATTTCCCTCAAATACTCAAATTATTAGCAAACCAAATCCGGTGGTAAACAGTATACATTATGGCCAAGTGACTATATACAAGTCTGGTTCAGAAGTACAAAATCAATGTGATTCACCATGTTAGCCAAATAAAATGGAAAACATTTCAACAGATGCATAAATATTTGACAAAATTAAAATCCATTCATGATTTATAAAACAAGCAAAATTTAGCATGCATTCAGCTAGGAATTAAAGAGAAATCGATGTTTTAAAAAGCCATCATTACACTATGTGAAACATAGAACTTTCCATTTTCCTTGTAAAGACAAGGATATCTACTTTATACATTACTGTACATTTTTTTTCTGGATATTCCAGTGAGTACAATAAGGTGAAAAACAAGTGGGATTTCTACATAGAAAATTCTAAGGAATGTATAAAAAAAACCCTTTAGAAATGAATGAATTTAAGGTCATTTAGAATACAAGATAAACATTCAAAAACACTATTTCTGATTACTACCAATGAACAATTAGAATTCGGAATTTTTTAAATTATCATTTACAATAGCAGCCAAAAATTAAATACTTTGATCTTAATATAAATAAATGATATGTAGAAGTTGTATGTTGAAAACTGTAAGCATTGTAAAATATCAAAGCAACCTAATTAAATGAAAAAATACATTTCATTCTTCAATGTTTTCATGATGTCAGTTCCTCCTAAACTGATACACAGATCAACAAAATTCAAATCAAATGATTTTTCCATAGACAGTAATAAATTGATTCTAAAATTTACTGAAAGACAAGCTAGACCAGCCCATATAATTTTGAAAGGAACAAAGTCACACTCATACCTCCTGATTTCAATAACTATAGTTACAATAACCAATATAGTGTATTTACAAAAGGTTAGGAAAATAACATCAGTGAGAAAAGATCCACACAAATAACAATTTACGTCTTCCAAAGGTGAGGTGCAAAGGCTATTATTTCAGAAAGATGATTTTTTTTTTAGCACGTGCTGAACAATTATACATCTAAATACAAATAAAATTGAATGAACTTTCACCAATCCCTCTCACCTGAAACAAAAAATTCCACACAGATCATAGTCCCACTGTAAACATAAAACTACAACACTGGGAAAAACTTTGGACCTTGAGAAAAGCAAAGAATACTTAGATGCAACACAAAAATTACAGTCTATAGAAACATAAATTGATAATGCATAGTGATCAAGTTTAAAGCTGCGTTCTGCAAACAAGTTGTGTGTGGGGCGGAGGGACACAAAATACTTGTAAATCACATTGCAAGAGACTTGTATTCAGAAGATACACAGAACCATTAAAACCGAAACATAAGAAAACAACCCAATAAAAATATAAAATATTTCAACAGATATTTTACCAAATAAGATATGTGACAGCACAAAAAATGATGCTCAACTTTAATCATTAGGGAGATGCATATTAAAGGCATAAAGGTAAGCTATCCTCTGTAAATAACTTTTTAAAATGACTATACCTAAGACCAGTGAGGATGCAAGTAGAACTTTCAGTTACTGATAATCATTTTCAAAAGAGGGAGGACCTTTGAAAAACACTTTGGCAGTTACTTACACAGATACACACCTACATGATTCAGTAATCCATTCCTAGATATTTTACAATGAAAGCTATGTTCACACAAAAATCTGTATGTGAATATTTTTATAGCTTAATTCATAAATTTCCAAAAACTAGAAATAACCCTAATACATTTAAATTGGTGAATGAAGCAAATTGGTACCTCCATTGAGTGAAATGCTACTACTCCACAATAAAAAAAGAGTGTCTAGTAACACATACAGTACTACGCAAATTTAGACATGACGAGTGAAACTAGTCTTACTTCAGACAGGTTTCATACTGTGATTCTATTCATAAAGCACTTTGGAAAAGGCAAAACTATAGGGATGGAAAACAGATTAGTGGTTGCCAGAGACTGTAAGTGAGCACAAGGGTTGTCTATAAAGGAAGAAAATAGGACCCTTTTTGGGTGCTAGAACTTTCTATATCTTGATTGTGGTGGCAGTTATCAAAACTCAGGACTATATGAAAAAAAGTGAATTTTATTGTATATCAATTTTTAAAATGTAAAGCTATACATAATATATATCACACTTGGAATTATTTATTTACTTCATAGTTTCTCCTATACTAAAAGTACCTAATAAGCCATACTTTATTCTCAATATTAAGGATTTCTAGCCCAAGAAGATGAAGCTACCCTTCTGCTCTTACTGCTCTGAGATCTCTGAGATACTCTGGGCTAACCTCAAGGTTTAAAGACCATAAGAAGAGGGTGAATGGTTTAGGTGCCCCAGCTGACTATCACACCCTATGTATGACTGAGGCCTACTTGAATCATCCAGCCCTCGTCAATCCACAAGCTGGTTATAAACACCCAAGTGACACCCCATGAGACCAGCAGAACTGCCTGATTCAATCCAAACCAAATTGCCTATGCATAGAATCAGAGTCAAATAAAATGATGATTTAATCACCATCTCAGGTGATTTCTTACACAGCATTAGATAACTGTCACAATGTGATTCATGGAGGAGGTACATTTTATTCAATTTGCAATCCCCCTCCCAATTGCTTATTTTACTTTAGAGATGTTACAGGAAATCCTTTGGTCTCTGAAAAGAAAGGAAAAAAGCTTATGTTAATATAACAAATTAAATGGTATTTTTCTACATAAAGCCCAGGTAATGCAGTATAAATACATCCTATTTATAGCAATGTATTCCTCCCTTGTGGTTGTACTTAAAGAGTGATTTCAGAAATTAGCATATGAAGAAGGTCAAAGACAGGAGAGTAGAACAGAAGGAACCAACAATTCAGATCATTGAGAGAGTGGGAAAGAGACCAAGGGAGAGCTTCATAACTATACGATGGGCTTTGAAATTGTGTCAGTTTCATAGTCAGAAATTGGATAAATATAGCGAAGTTAAAGGGAGGGATATGTCAGCTCAACATTAAGAAAAAGGTCTTTACTATGAAAATTGACCAAAAATAAAAGTGAACTGCCTCAAAATCAAATCCAGAAAGCTTCAAACATCTGAGCACCCTTAGAGATGTTTCTACACTGAGTGTATAGGCGATACTTATATAGAAGTAGACACTATATGAAATAATTTTCCTAAATTCCTTAAATTCTGAAGTTTGTTGGGTTTTTTAGCTATTTGACATCATAATATTATAGCCATGTTTTAAAATTTGTAGTTTTAAACTTGTCCTTTTAATAAAATCGTCCAGATATGCCCTGATGCATGTAGCCAAACAAAGTTGTTTTCCCTCATAAGCTCTAGGATGAAGAAGTTGATAACTGAATCCAAATATACTGGATATATATTATTGCTTCTGTCACAGCTAATGAAGTGACTACTTGTTCCAGCAATTGTTTCAAACAATAGAGGGAAATTATCACTGCAGCCTGCTCCAATCAGTCAAACCGCTATCCATCATGTGAGCTGTGCTCTCTGTTTGGCTTAATTATCTGCTATCACTTTTTAAATCCTTAATACTGTATGAAGAGGAGGGCTTACAAATTCTATAATCTAGCTGACTACAATCCCGGTCATCCAGTCAAATCCTTGTTTTGTGTTGCTTGTACTCTGAATTCTATACTATAACAAAAACTCTCACTCAAGTCATTTACAGCCAAATAGCCAATTCTCAAATTCTCTCTTTAATCTTCATCCACTTTAACCCTTAAAAATGTCAACATTTTTGACAGACTGTATCTTAAACTTACCTGCTCAGATCCTATGACTCTTTATCATTTTAGTTTTCTCACTTGAACTTGGTGGATAAAGTCATGCAGAGTGATAAAATGAAGTTAACAATTATAGCACATGCCTCCAGGTTTTCATCCTCCAGAACAGGCCCATACTCTTGGCCAGTATATGCTGGGACTCCTTATTTTCCAAGTAAATGACAAAAGGAATCCAAGTGGATAAATGTAAAGAATGAGCTACAGTCCTACCTGGCTGGCATTACAAATGACATTCAAGGGGTTTTTATTTTTAGACATTTTGTTTTGTTTTGCTTTCCTGACTATAGCAATGAAGTGAAGAACATACCAAGGGTTTCATCACTTGAAAATATAAATGGTCGTAAATTTCCACGTGTCTCCTTCACAAAATAATCAATGACACTGAAAAGATTTGGGAGTGTAACCTGTAAAGAGAAAGTGTGAGAAAGCTCAGTGTCACCTGTGTAAAAACAGAAAAAGAGAAAGTTCAACTATAACTTAATGGATGCACTTGGGTACTTTCTGAGCTCCAGAACATCATCTCAGTATCTTACTTTGATGATTTTCTGAAGAGATAATGCTCTACCTGCACATACATTTTATTTATTCTTTATAACCAAATCTGATTCCCTGATGAAGACTTCCCCTTTCCCAATGGATATGTTTTTTATGAATCATTTTTTAAAAGATTTATTTATGCATATAGAACTGGGGTACAGGTCAGAGGCTGAGGAATGGTGAGAGGATTCACCAGAGACAGAGTGGGGAACAGAACAGACAGACTGATGAAGTACACTGCTGAGGGGAGCAGCAGGCAAGACAGGTGAGGTCTGCCACACCACGTGGATCACCTCCTGGATGGGATCAAACTCGCACTTGGCACTCTTTAACCCGCTGTGCCCCCAGAGAGGGCCCCCAATGGATACATTTAGGCAGACAATAACTAGGTGTCCATGGCCTACTTGGGGTGCAAGTGGTTAAGTCTCAGCTCTCTGAACCTATCAGCAGCCAAAGCATCATGAATTAGATCCCTCTCCCTGGCCTGGGAGCTGACGCACATGGTGCAGCAGACCTCTGCAGTCTCACCTGCTGTTCCCCTCATCAGTGTGTTTCACTGGATCAGCGTGATCTGCTTCCCACTCTGTCAGGTGGGCCAAAAACCCACTCTTGAATTCATAAATAAATAAATAGATCTTTAGGGGGGAAAAAATCAGGTATCTTGTTTTTTCCCAAATGTTGCATGAGAATGTGACTCAAATTAGGCCAGAAAATGATGCATTCCTAAAATTTGAATTTGGCTATCAGAAACAAGGAAGAATAGCAACTTCCTAATAAAATGGTTCTTGTTGCATTTACAGGTATCCCATTTTTTAAAGTTTGCATTTTGTCATTTCACTTTTCTAAACGACTTACATTGTACTAGTTTGTAAGGTAAATGAAGATTGCTCAGGCTTTTGTGCTTTTTTTGTGTGTGTGCCATTGGCTACTGTGGCTATCACCTGGGGCCTTGAATGCAGGAGGCAATTGGGAGTCTCCACTCTGGGTACATGTGCCTGATGATGCACTCCTGGCTGAGTGGAGAGGCTGAGCTTATAAGGGCCTCGCTGCAGAGATGGATGGGATGTGGTAGAGGGCAGTAGAGAAAGCCGAGCCCAGAAAGAAAGACGATTCACTGACCCCTTTGCTTGACCTGCACCTGGTTGCCTCATTACAAGTGGCATAGTGAGATTTATTTATTTATGCATACAGAACTGAGGTACAGGCCAGAAAGATCATTACAAGCCTGAAAAAGCCACGGAAGGCTCCAGGAGTCTGGCTGCTGGCACTACACTGTTTCACTATCCCTTAGAAATTTGAAGAGGATTTTTGTTGTTATAACAAAAGGCAAAAGGCAAAAATAGCATTCAACATTTGTGCTGCGGCGATCAACACAATTCCAGACGCAAAGTACTCCCCAAGCAGTAAGAGTGGCTGCATCAAGCTCCATCCTGGAAACTACTCATAGCAACTCTGTGTACGTATAACATTGTTCCCAGTTTTACTCTATGTTGGTCTTAGGTTTTAGGTGTTTAGTAAGATTTCATTAAGTTATTTCAAGTTATCAAGTTATTTCAAGAAGTTGCAGACTTCTTCCATGTAAATTAATTGTAAGTGCTTCTTTGTTTTACACAAAAGTTTTCACAAAACATTCTACTTTCAGGTAGTGAGGGAAACCTGTAACTTCTTTCTATTCTCTAAATATTTTTTTTAGTCTTCCAGTCACACTTTAGTTCTTTTATTATTAAAATAAATGCATTATTGTTTAAGTTACAGTAGTTTGTTTCTTCAACTGGAAGACAAAGAACTCTTAAAACCAGAGAATTTAACGTGTTAATACCTCATTGTAAGAGCATAGTTTACTTGGTTAGGAGTAACTGAAAATGTATTGCTACCCACTGTTTTCATACAGGCAGCATCAGGTTAAACTGGAATATCTCTGCCCTCCCTAGTGGCACAGTGGGTTAAAGCTCAGCACTACAACCTGCCCACAGCGGCTTCAGTGCGAGTTCAATCCCCTGCCCCAAAGGTGACCCACATGGTGCGGCAGACCTCTCCTGTCTTGCCGGCTGTTCCCCTCAGCAGTGCACTTCATCAGCTGGCCTGTTCTGCTCCCCACTATGTCTCTGGTGAATCCTCTCACCGCCCCTGTGCCTCTGGCCTGTACCCCATTTCTATATGCATAAGTAAGTAAATCTTAAAATAAAACAAAATAAAATAAAATAAACCTGAATATCCTAGGTAAACTTGAAGAGGAAAAAGAATACACAGAAAAAGAGAAGCTGACTGAGGCACAGGGTTAGGAGTAAGATGAAAGAATATTCCTTTTACTGTAGTCCACTGGGCTGATGACTGGTCAGTGAATCTCAGTTCACCAGTTATACAGGTACATTCTTCTCCCCTAACCATTGGATGATAAACCATTGGATTATCACCAAGCATTTTTTTTTTCTATTTCCTTCATTAGAATTTTTGAAATTCTAATGGACATGAGACATGGACATGAGAACTGAGATGCTGTACCATAGCATACTAGGAATTATGGTCACAACATCAAATGCAACTCTCCTGTCCCTTTCTCTATCTGATCAACACAGTGGGCCTGAAGAGACACAGGAACTAGGAACTCAACTTTGGAGATGTCAGTAGCTTCAAATCCATAGATTGCATTCAAGTGAGATCACTTTCCTAGTATAATTTTACCACCATGCAACCTAAAATCAGAGCTACATTTCTTTTTTCATCATCCTGGAACACAGACTACACTATTATATTTTCATTAGTTAAAACCAGTGTAAATACCAGTTTTCCATCTGCTTAAATGGCATGATCTTGGAGTAGTAATAAAGATTAAATTAGATGGTACATGTAAAGCACTTAGCTCTGTGCCTAATACAGTACCTACTGGTTCTAACATTATATGGTTTGCTTCATAAGTCAGCTGGGGTAGGAGAGGAATTGCAGCCAAGAAAGAAACCCTCTCCACATTACTTTGCTACTTGAGAGATTTCTGCATGGCAAGAGGAACTTCTATATGGCCATTGTTAAAGGACTAGAGTTTTGTTGTTGTTTTTTTTTTTTTTTCAATTAAAAATAAACACATTATTAAGCAGAATGCTTAATGAAAATATTTTTCTCCCTGAAACAACTATATTAATAAAATTTTCAGAGAAAAAGGTGAAGAGAAATTTTAGCAGATTATCTTTTACTGCCTCTCATCTACCAGCTGTTAGTACTAACTTCTCATCCTGGGTGTCAGGCTCCTTAACATTGGTAGTTTCATCATATTAGCTGCTTGCCCACCTTTCTTTGTATTCTATAAGGTAGGTTTGGTAAGAAACAGGAAAAATTTTGTTCAACAACAAATAGCTACTCACAGGTTTTTCCAGTTCAATAGTGTAGTTGTTTCCTACACTCATCACTTTGTAGTGCTTGATTTTTGGCATACTAAAATTAAAAAAAAAAAAAAGTTAATTTCTATTTGATTATGTAATTGGATCAAATTAAACTAAAGTAAGTATAAATATCACCTGTAAAACAAACCTATGTTTTTTCATTTGCCTTTTCCTCTATGTCCCTATGGGTGAGCGGGTTATGCAAAAAGGATATCAGGAAACTGTGCCATAGAGGAGGTCACCACAGAGAGGAAAAGGGAAATCAAGAACTGAAAATCTTACAGAGATTTTTTTAATGTCAGTAATTTACTAAGTAGACATTTTTAAATGTTATGTAGACATATACAATCAAATATCTATACCTAATTAAAACAAGTGGAAAGAATCCTGAAAAGTAAATTATTTCCTACATCACTTCACCATTCCAACCAGAAAACCCTCAAGCTAGTTTTTCCCACTAGCTCTCACACCACTTTGAAGATTTGCTACTATCAGGGCTAACCGGGATATAGAATATGATCTTAGACACTGTATTAACTCACAGGTGGGACTATAATGACAGTAGATGAATCAATGTCTTCTTCAGTCATGTTCTACTGAAATTATTACTGCCTTGAAACATCTTTAGTGACTATGAGCTGCTTAAGGACAAGAAGCATATTATTTACATTTGTGTCCTAGCATTAGACACAATAAATATTTATGAAACTGAATTTTAGTGTTATTTGCTGGAAATAAGAGCAAAGGTCAGTACTCTTATTTATACTAAGAGCATACCAAGAGCATAAATCAGTGTTCATGACAGTTAATTATGAATAACAGTAGGTTTGCCTTGACTTATTTTGATTCATATAGCAGCAATGCTAGGACCAAGATATTTTCTAATATTGAAGCACTAACAGTATTTACTATACTGCCAACTACTTGAAAGACAAACTAATTCAACAGAATTAGAAGCTATTTAAAGCAAAATTTTCTATCAAATTAAATTTCTCTGAAGAAATTTTTCATCATTCTCTTTCCATGTAACATTCCCCTATAATTGAATTATACTTCAAATCAAGAGACTTTATCTACTGTTACATCCAAATCTACCCTTATTTAGATATCACATTATCCAATTACCACAGTAAATGGAAAACTGTTAATAAACTAGTTCTAATGATTCATTCCAGAGCTTTACTTTGAAATCACAGGATAAAACATAAACTCTTTCCCTTCTTAAAAAAAAAAAAGGCATTTTTAAATTCTAAACTTTCAGAAATAAGCTACAGACTCTGAGGGAAACATTTTTGAACAGTAGAGTTCTTACCAGCACCTTCCCTTTGGGGTATTTGACTCTGTCTTTACCTTTACCCTTACCATAAAAAAGACCTTTATAAGCAAACAGTTGCTTCTGAAAACTCACCAGTTCTGTGAAAATTCTGAGCTTTCATTTTTTTCAGCTATATTAAATGGAAATGGTGATGCCTTACCTCCAAGAACTGTAATGAACTAATGTTTGAAAAAATCCTTAGTTTGTTGTCTGGCACATTTAAACATACAACTTTTTAAAATATTTTTAAATGTGTTTTAACTTAGCAGTTTCTGTTAATCTCAGCTTCTTCGTTTGTAAAACAGAAAATACTGTCTCAGTTTTTACTGTGTCTACAGGGAATATTTGTCAAACACTCAACAGATTATCCACAAACAGTGGGTACAATAATAGTTGTTGTTAGAAATAGTCATATCGTTATCATTCATAGAAAATCTGTGGGAGGAAAGTAGCAAGGTTAATAGGGACTCTAGAACTTTTGAACAACAGAACTAAGTTTTGAAGCAGAAGTTAAGCCAGAAAAAAATTCCATTGAAGTCATATAAGCTGAGTCTCACTTTTGACCTTTGTTTTTCTTTCATGTTTTGTTTTTCCAAAAGAATAGGTGTGTGTGGGGGGTGAGATTGATAAATTTCTATCTTGAGATTTCCTGATTATGACCTCAAAAAGAATCTGTTATTAAAAAAAATATGTATGACTTTAAATGTGGTTGTACAAACTTGTTCTTAGCTTGATTTTTGCAAAGGTATGAGTTTTGAGTAAATATGTTCTACTGTTTCCTTGGCTAATTGCCTTCCAAAGTATTTACACTACTAGCTTGCCATGTAGTCATAACAATTTCAAAAAACCAAGACAAACTATGAAAGTTGTTGTGTGAATGGCCTTATGTCTTATGAATTCACACACTGTGGGCTGGGTAAAGGTGGTTGATACTTTATATCAAGAGAAGACCTTGGTAGTTTGGCACAGAGTGAATTTTGCTTCTTCCTTAGAGCCATAATGGTCCCTCCAGTAGCTGATTTGTTAACAGATAGAGATAATTTCACTTTCAAGTATTGCTTTGTAAACCAAATTGTCCTTTTCAGCATGTGTTTTACCAGACACAGTCATCTAACTTGCATGGCTGAACATTTCTCCTACAACCTGTAAGATAATGAATTGGTTTTGTGGGTAACACAGGTGCATCCTAACAGTCTAGACTTCTGCCAAAGTTCTTACACTAAGCTCCACAGTCTAACAAGTTAAAATTCTAATAGTCTATACAGTTGCTACCCTTTAAAATTGTGATTTGCAGAAAACATTAAATTAATAAAAGAACTGTCTGGTGGCACTAGAAAGCACCTATACTAACCGTCAGCATCAACTTATAAGTAAAAAAAAAAAGTGCAATAGCAACTCAAATTTATCTCAGCCACTTCCAGGCATAAGCTATTCCCCCAAACCTAAATGAGTCCTGACTTACTGGCTGACTCCATTACTAAAAGGCTGTAGTTTGACTATTCTACCTCACTCTTTGTTTCTAAATATGAACTTTTTTCTTTTGTGAGTTGTGATAAGTTTTATGAAATATTTTAAGTATCTAAGATCATGTTGTAATCAACTATAAAAAAGTAAAAGCAAAAGAAAAATACCAGATGGTTTCACTCATAGCAGGAGTATAATGGACCAGGCGAGAAAATAACAAGAATAATGAACAACCATATACCAAAGACATTTTGCGGGGGTGGAGTGGGGAATGGATCAAAAATGGGGGGTTGGGGAGGGAAGTGCACGGGATTATGGTGATGGCACACGGGTGACTTGGTGATGGGAAACCCGCGGGGATTACAATTGAGATGGGGGAAAAAATGTACAAAATGATGTAAAAATAAACTTTTGTAAAATAAAAAAAAATCAGTTAAAAAAAAGTAAAAGCATGAATTTGTACATAAACTGGAAGGGAATTAGCTAAATTAGAATTACTTAACTTTGATAATAATTTCTTTGCCAGTCTTTCCTATAAGCTTAAATACATTGCAAATATAAATAAAAACTATAACACTAAATTTATATCTTAAGTATAGAAATTCATTGCATTTGGTCACAAACCATATCTGCGGCAAAAAATGCTGTTATTTCTCATAGCTTAAGAGAAGCTCTGCAAAAGCTGGGGTCATTTAAAACAACCTGAAAGAAACCATCTTGCTATTGTGCAGAAAAATATAGTCTTTAAAGAACACTTATGTCGAGGATTTTGTTCATTTCACACAGAATAGTAATATATGGATTCATATGCAAATGAACCAAACACTCAAGTCAACCAAGAAAAGAAAATATGAAAAAGAAAAAGAATAAGTGATGTTCATGTGTGGTCTCATTTTGCTTTCAAGTAGTTATATTCTTTTTAAAAATTTGGTGATACATATTAAAAGGAGCTTTGTATTTTCAGGGTGTAGAAAACTGAGTATGATAAAATGTAGAATGTCTTATTTAAAAAGTAAAGCAAACATTTAAAGGTATTCTAAATTTTAAGTCACATTCAAATTCTTAAATCCTGAAAATGGATACTCTTCTTGACTGTGATATAGTAGACCCAAAATCCACTTTTCTCCTAGTCACAACTTTTATTTCTTTTGGATTTGTTTCAAGATTGTCAAATAAATGTTAAAAATCAAATCATAATTGTATAATCTATGATATTCTATCAATTTCAAATATTAATCTATATAATCAGAAAAAAATAATGAAGCCACAAGAAGTTTATGTTGACATTGAGTCCGTGATAGAAACACATGCACACACACATTCTTTCACTTCATCTTTTGAGTCAGGATCTCATTCACCACCAAATATTCCTGCCATCTTTTCAGTATGCAACGCTAGTGTGTTTAACAATGTTAAATGTTTTAATTAAACATACTCCATCTCCTGCCGGATAGTGATGGAGTAATTTCGATTATCACTACCAGGTCTCAGGATCATATTTCCCAAGGAAGGGTTCTTCTCAAGCATCTCAGTTGCTTTTTTCCGGGACACTGTATAAAAACATCTACAAAGGTAAGATAGAAAACATAATATTTTTAATTGATGAAGATCATGCTTGAAAACATGCTTCTCAAAGAAATTTAAAGAAGTTAACTTTATTACAATTTCCAGATTCATTATTATGATTATATACTATTATTACAAGCCTGTGCCACCATGATGTATTTCTTTAAGATTCTCCTTCCTTCCCCACAAAAGTCTTTTTTAACCAAGGAGGACATGAAAAAAAAACTTTTGATCAATACAAAGTCACCATTACCATTTGAAAATATAAGGCAAGAATTAGAAATATATCCCTAGCGTGGCTTTATAATGGGTTCTTGAATAAATATTTGTTGGTGGTTTCTTTTCAGGAATTTAAGCATTTCTATACATGCTTCTCAATATCAGTTTTAAATAACTTATTAAAGGTTATGTCTGAACACACTCCCTTCTTACTGCATTTGGTGGTCTTTTTTTTTAAGATTTATTTATTCATACAGAACTGGGGTACAGGCCAGAGATGTGGAGGGTGAGAGGATTCACCAGAGAAGAGTGGGAAGCAGAATAGGCAGATTGACGAAGTACACTGCTGAGGGGAGCAGCGGGCAGGTCAGGAGAGGTCTGCCACGCCATGTGGTCACCTCCTGGGCAGGAGGGGATCAAACTCATGCGGAAGTGGCTCAAGCTTCTTAGTGCTGTGCTTTAACCCGTTGTGCCACCAGGGAGGGCCCACATTTGGTGGTGTTTTTGGATGTAAATTGTTAAAGAAAATGTTTTATAGTAAACATTGTCATCATTGAAATACATAGTACAAGAAAAAAGTCTGGCAGGTTACAAAGCATACCAAAATACAAAATATAAACAGCAAATACCTCTGAGTGGTGGGACAAAGACTGATTTTAATCTTTTTTTTTTTTTGTATTTGTAGTAACATATTCCTTGTTTTACTGAGCCAAAAGAAAGTTAATCTCTATGTGACTTTTAACTATCAAGTCATCAGCTGTCACTGGTTTTAGCTAAGAATGATAGTTGGCAGATTTTAGCAATAATATTACAGATAGAATATGTATCAGAACCAGATGTCAAAGATGGTACTAGAACAAGTTTCACTGACAAGGAGACCAAGGGATCAGGAGCAAAGAACTCACATTCAAATTCTTAAAAACTGAAAATGGATAATCTCCTTAACTGTGATATAGTAGACCTGGAATCCACTTTTCTCCTAGTCATAACTTATTTCTTTTGGATTTGTTTCAAGATGGTCAAATAAATGTTAAAAATCAAATTATAACTTTGAGTTCTTTGCTCCTTATACACTTTTAAGATTAAAAAAATAAACACAATGTTGCTGAATTTAACATGCTCTGTGCCTCTTTACTTCTCCAGTACCTTCCACACTTAACACAAGGCTTTCCTCAAAGTACAGGCTCAATGACTACTTCTCGATGGACAGGACAATTTAAATGGAACACTTAGGTATTCAAAACTATTTGGTATAATTTTCAAACAGAAAGTCAGTCATTCATAAAGTTTGCATTGTGAAAAACATCTTTTCCTTTCTTCTTCACAGCAGTTTTTATTTAGGTTTGAGCTTTGGAAAGAAATCTATTTGGCCTAAAGGTGTGGGTGGAGGGGATTTCCTGTGTGGTAAGAGGGTTGGTTCAAATCTGCATTTTGATCATGCATAGAAAAGGAAATGTGGCATGTACTCAGAGATGTGCTGTTTATCCACAAGGCAGTTTATTGTCCCTGATTTAATGAGGTCAATGACTAGATAATTTGAAATAAATATTGACAATCTAATATGTAAATTAGAGTTTGTTGTGCACTTACGCTGGCATATGGTTCAGTACATCCATGTAATCTTCAACCGGTTCCTTTTCCTTTTCCAGAGATGTACTTGGTAGCTGCTCTGTCTCAATCCTCCTTTTTTTTTCTTTCTCTAGGACTTCATGCAGTCTAATTACTTGTCCAGGAAGGAGGGATACATGTTGAGGAACTGACAGCTGACATCAAATAAAGCAAAAGGCAAATAAGAAAATAGCGAAGTAACGGATTTTGGCAATTAGTTATTACCAAATTAGCTAATGGCCCACCATGCCCTAAGAAGTGAGTTATTTTGACAGAGATCAATGAGTAGAATCATGAAAAAAGGACTTTGGTATAAGGTAGATGTCTCAGAATTTGCCCTGAAATCAACTATTATCTGCATAGGATAGCTGACCTTCTAAGAGATGTTCTTTTTGATTGTCCCAAAGCAAAATATATCCATCTTGTATTACAAGCTAATTCAAATAATAGACCTCTCCTCTCATTTTCCATTCTAAGCTCGTTAGTTCTAGCTGCAAGGGTAGTCCCAGGCTACTGCAAGTTGCCTTGCTCTCCCTAAGGTAAGTTAGAACAAACCACCAACCATGACAACATGAGGTAGAGAAGGAACAATTTATTAGTTCACTGAAAATCAGTCATAAGAGATCTACATCTTGGTGCATTTATGTAAGTATTTCAAACTTTCACATGCACATTAAGAATTAAGATACTGATCTACTTGTTTTTTAACCTTTTCTAGAGCTGTATTTTGAGTTGAGTAATCTCTTTCCTCATGATCTATATTCAGGCCCTAGATTTTAGATCCCATTGTGACAGGCAGTGTGCTGGTGTAACCTGAATAGTAGCATATTTTTTATGTCACCCTACCAGGTATATGTTTGAGATGGCCCTGACTGAGTAGCAAATGGAGCATGTTTCCCAGGAGAATGCAGAAAAAAAACACTAGAGCTTCAGTTTTCATTTTACTTATTGTTTCATTAATTTCTATTATTATTTTTGTTTTACAGCATGAATAGCTACATACCCATAGTTTGAAATGAAAATTTGCTGAAAAGGATATACAATCAAAATGGTTTAGAGACTATCCTTCTAGATGACAAGTTAAATTATAATAAGCTATTTCACATATGTCCAGAAAAAAAATTAGAATGAGGAAAAACTTATGAAACAGTTATTCTTTATTAACTGCCTATTATAACCAAGCATTGTTGAAAATCTGCACTGTAATGTATACAATAGGTATTATTATCCTTACTTTATAAAACAAGACTCAGAAAAATTAAATAACAAGTCCACGGTTACATAGACAGTAAGTAGAGGCTGAAGGGTTCAAATTCCATTTTATGTAATTCAGAGTGATCTAGGATATTAGCACAATATTCACAGAGCACAACATTTGAGGCAGCCTGTCTTCTCTTAGAAATTCGCATGAATTTTATTTTAAATTCTGCAATATACCAATGTGCATCTTAATATAAAAAAAATAACGTGGGCCCTCCTTGGTGGTGCAGTGGGTTGAAGCACAGCACTAAGAAGCTAAAGCCACTTCAGCATGAGTTTGGTCACCCAGAGGTGACCCACATGGCGCGGCAGATCATACTTGATCTGCCTATTCTGTTCTCCACTCTGTCTGGTCAATCCTCTCACCACACCTGCACCTCTGGCCTGTTCTCCAGTTCTGTATGCATAAATAAATAAATCCTAAAAAAATACTGAATGGAGTATAATGGACCAGGCGAGAAAATGATAAGAATATTGAACAGCCATATACCAGAGACACTTTGTGGGGGTGGAGTGGGGAATGGGATCAAAAATGGGGGGAGGGGAGGGGGAAGAGGGAAGTGCACGGGACTATGATGATGGCACATGGGTGACTTGGTGATGGGAAACCCACAGGGATTAGAAATGAGATGAAAAAAAAATGTACAAAATGATATAAAAATAAACTATTATATTATAAAAAAATACTGAATGGAAGAAAGTATCTTTAAAAAAATAATGCTTTTTAGGTAGCTGAGAATTATTGAGATTAAAAGACATGACTTTGGATCCAAACTGCATGGGTTCAAGTCTCAATTCTGCTCTATTCTGTGTGATTTGGGGCTAGTTTCTTTATCTCTCTGTTCCCTCAAAATCAAATAAGGAAAATATGACCTATGAAGGATTCCTATGATGATAAAATGTATGCCTTCAAAAATAATGTTTTGTTTTTTTTAAATCAGGGCTCTCCCTGGTAGCACAATGGTTTTTTTTTTTTAAGATGTATTTGTTATACATACAGAACTGGGGTACAAGCCAGAGGTGCAGGGGTGGTGTAAGGATTCACCAGAGACAGAGTGAGGAGCAGTAAAGGCAGATAGAAGAAGTACACTGTTGAGGGGAGCAGCTGGTGGGTCAGGAGAGATCTGCCAGGCCCTTTGATCACCTCCGGGGAGGGGGATCAAACTCACATTGAAGCATCTGCGGCTAGTTTGCAGTGCTGTGTCCTAACCCACGCACGACTAGGGAGGGTCCTCAAAAATAATGTTTTATTCTTTCCTCAAGACAAAAATTGTTAGTCAAAACATCAAGTATAATTAGTGTAGCAGTAAGATGCACACCAAAGTATTCCCAGTGGTCTTAATATACTCCTTGACATAATTACATACCCTTGGGAACTGGTACTCCAATGTATGAAGTTCATTGACAACTACCCACAGCAGACGTGGAGACTGCAATTCCCCAGAGAGTTTCTCCCTCCTCTCATATCTTTCACACCTTAAACTACCCCACTTCTTTAGTCTCCTATGACTGCAATAGTAGTCGAAACTCTGATTCTTACTGTTATTGGCTGAGATAAAGAATTAACATCCAATATCGCAATAATCAATAGTGCATATTTCATGTGACTTCAGGGTCTTTACTGAGGACCTAGCTTTAGATAAACTTTTTCACTCAAGCTTTATAAGCAAAAAAGTTTCTTATCCTATTTCCTATTCTTAATAGAGAACATGGTGCTTTTTGGTGGACTGGTTATCAGAATATCTTCTGCTGCTAAGATAGTTGCTAAGCAGCTTTATTTAAAATAATGATTGTTAATAATAATGAACAGCTATATACCGGAGACATTTTATGGGATGGAGTGGGGAATAGGATCAAAAACAGTGGGGAAGGGCGGGTAGTGCACTGTACTATGGTGATGGACATGGGCAACTGAGCTGGAAAAAGGCACAAAATGATGTGAAAACAAACTATTATATTATTATTTTTTTTTTAAAGATTTACTTATTTATTCATACAGAATTGGGGTACAAGCCAGAGATACGGAGAGTTGAGAGGATTCACCAGGGACAGAGCAGGGAGCAGAACAGGCAGATCGATGACGAAGTACACTGCTGAGGGGAGCAACGGGCTGGCCGGGAAAGGTCTGCCACGCCATGTGGTCACCTCCGGGGCAGGCGGGGATCAAACTCATGCGGAAGTGGCTTAAGCTTCCCAGTGCTGTGCTTTAAGCCGCTGCGCCACCAGGGAGGGCCCTATTATATTATTTTTAAAAATGGTTGTTATATGTTCTACAACTGCTAACTAAAAGCATATCTTATTAGATATCATGTCACAGAGTTGAGCAAACATTTCTTTGTCTTAAGATGCACTAAATAAATATTTAAAGGTGGCTTTTCATTTTTATCAACTTTCCTTATATTGCCTGTTATTCATTGTTCCATCTCAGTTAACATTTAGTGAATAAGTATTAAATGAATAAGAAGGAATTAGAAAACATTTTAGAAAATGCTGTCTAGGCTACAAATATCAGAACTTATGTAGGCAAGTATGTATAAAAGACATGACCAGGAAGTAATCTCCCAGGCCATCTATTACTGTCTAGTTAGCATATTGCCCTGTTTGTTTTCTTCATAACAATTACCACAATTTTAAATGATCATGTTTGCTTATTTACTTTCTTTCTCCTTTGCATCAACCTGGCTAAAAAAGGAAATTAAGTATAAGGTTTCCTATCTGTCTTTTTCAAGTGCCCTGTCTTCAATTCCTTTCACTTGGCATGGTGTTCAGCAAATATTTGTTGAATCAATCAATTAATCAAGAGTAATGTACCTCTGTTACAGTAAGAATGAAGCCTCTCCATTCTTCTCCACTTTCTGCATTCTCTGTCTGAAAGTGAAGACAAAATACCCACATACCAAGAAGAAAACATATGAATGACTGTGATCATTAATACTCGTAACTTAGATAACTTCAAAATTTCATGATCATTTTTTAAAATTAAAAATGTGCTAACATCAAAAATCCAGCAAAATAGACAAAATGCACATTCTCCAGTTGTAGCACATTGTTTTAAAAGGTTAACTGTAATTTTTAAACACTTACAATCAGGTGAAAGGCAGAAAGAATTCATTTTCCTTTTGTTCAGAAATATTCATGTGCATTTATAATGAAGTAATATATTAAGAACTATTTAAAAATTATTTTCTTTTGTCAGAAGTTTCAAGAGTTAATTGGCTTGCTTACAAAATAAATAAAATTGTACAAGTTTGCTAACTGCAAAAAAATATATATAAATGTTAGTTCACTTACTCCTGTAGTAGGTCAAGTAAATGGTTACTCCTGTCTGTGGTATTTAACCTGAATGATGTAAATTTGGGGCAATCTGGTGGGACCAAGGTAGTTAATCCTCAGAAAACTGTTTTATTAACTCTAAATTACTAGTACAGTCAAGATTTATTATGCCTTCAAGTGCTAGGCACTATTCTAGGTAGTGTTTAACATCAGACAAAAAAACAAAACCCTTGTTCTCATACAGCTTGGATCTAGCAAGGAATAAGTAATAAACATAGTATTAAGAAATTTTATAGTATCAGAAGGAAATAAATGAGCAGTTAGAGAGACTGGAATTCCATGAGGATTGAAGGAAAGGGAAATGGATAATAATTTTAATAAAGTTAATCCAGGTGGACCTTAGTAGTAGGGTCACACTTAGCAAAGACTCACCTCTAGTGAAGAAACCAAGACATAAAGAAGTTAAGTAACTTGCCTGTGATCACACAGCCAGTGAATACAATGGTTAGGAATCAAATCTAGGCATTGACTCCAATCCCTGTGCTCTTAGGCAGAACACCCTAATTATCTGGGGAACTTGCTTAAAATTAGATTTCGGGACCCAGCTTTAGAGGAGGGAATTAGGTCTCTAAATGATTCCTGGTACACTAAAGCTTAACTCCTACTACATTTTATTCAGTTGCAAGTTGTTCTCTTTATGTTTTGCTGTTGTTAGTTGACTTGAGTTGACTCACCTTGAATGCTAATTCAAGAATGATTTTTTTCTACATAGATTCCAGCTATCTGTGCATTTAACAGATAGCTACCCATATGGAATTTAAAGTTACATGGGATTACCATCATATTTCACAAATTGTCTATAGCTAATATACAGTTCTAGTTCAACTTTTTCTCATTGTCTCAATAATGTTCTTTATAGCTTTCCCCTCTCTTATCTGATCCAGGGCTTAATGCATTCAGCTGCCTCTACAGTCTCCAAAAAGGGGAACAGTCTTTCTCTGGCTTTTGTCACACTGGTATTTTTGAAAGTTTAGATCACTGCCTTGCAAAATGTCCTCAATTTGTGAAATACAGATTTGTCTAATTCAGTAGTTCCAAATGTGTCAAGTTGGACATGTCATAGTATCATCTGGGAACTTGGTGAATGCATGTTCATGAGAGCCAAACAACTTTTTAAAATGCCAGTGGATCTCTGACTCTGTCAAAGGACAGAAGCTATGGTTTCAATTTGCTTATATACTGAATAAGTGAGCATGGCCTTTAAACCCTGATTTAGAAAATTGTAGTTCTTGCTGAAAGACAATATATATTAGCAAAGTCTGAGACTTGGTACCCCTCTTATAATTCCTCTTTACTATAACCACTGCGTTGCAAAGAGGTGAATGCTATTTTCAACCACAACTTATTTTAGACTAATTGCTTCTCTTCACTCACCTTCAGTTGCACTTCCTCTTTTGGCAAAACCAGGGTGAATTTTGCACAATTCTTTTCAGTTGAATTTTGGTCAGTAAGACATGTGAGGCCTAGGATGTCTAACTTGTCAACATACTGCAAAGATAAAGGGAAATCTCATGAAATTATTTCCTGAGTAATATATATATATATATATATATATATA